CCTGGCTCCAGCTCTTGATTCCATTCCAGTTTCTTACCGATTCAGGCCCTGGGATCTAGTGGTTCAGTCTCTTCTACTCACCTAGGAGACCTGGATTGCATTCCCTGCCCCCGGATTTGGCCTGCCTTATCCCCAGCTGTTGTGAGCACTTTGATAGTTCAGAACCGGAAATAATTCCATTGTCTAAATGTCCTCTGGTAAACGGGTTAACAAAATTATCTATACTCTTATAATGGAATATTTAGCAATAAATAGGAAAGTACTACAGATAATGTTACAATATGGATGAACTTCTAGGACATTTTGCAAAGGGAAACGTGAGAATCAAACTTACATATTTATGATTTTATTTATATGAAATGTCCAGAAAAAGCAAATCTACAGGGTCCAAAAGAGTTCCATGATTGCCTAAGGCTGGATGTGGAAACTAGGATTAACTATAAATGAACACAGAAATCTCTACAAATGATGGGAATACACTAAAACCAGGTTCTGATGCTGGTTGTCTAACTCTGTAAATTGTCTAAAATTCATTCAATTGTACATTTAAAATGGGTGAATTTCAGGGTATGTAAGCAGTATTTTGATAAAGCTGCTTGAAGATTAGTATTTTAGTTTACATACTTCAATTTTGGACCAACTTTTAAGTTAGTAATATTCAATACAATTTTCCTAAAATATAAGAAATAAAATGTAAAACTATTGGGGGTGGGCAATTTTAGGGGCGGAAATGTTTCAGGCCAATATAGTCATTTAATCAGTATTTATTGATCTCTTCAGCTTATGTATTTTGTACATTTTTTGGTAGCAATATTTCCATTTTGGTTTTTAGATATACTGGCATGCAATACTTATGCTATTTGCAATGATCATTCTATATAATCTACTAGCAATCTGCCCTATAAGTTTTATCATTACTTTTCTCTATTGTTTTTGTTTTCCATGGAATTCATTCACATTTATTTATATTTGCTTTTGATCATTTTACAATGAATTGAAAAATACTTAATTCTTTAATTTTTGAAACAATTTTAATTGATTTCTATTCATTGTATTTGAAAGGCAGAGGAAACAGAGAGAGAATAAAAGAGAATAGATGGAAAAGAATAAAAGAGAATAGATGGAAAGAAGATTTCCATCTACTTTTTCACTCTCCAGATGCCTACAACAGCCAGGACTGGACAAGACCAAGACAGGAGTCCAAAACTCAGTCTGGGTCTCCCACACGAGTGGCATAGACCCAAGTATTTGAACCATCATCTTCTGTCTCCCAGGATACTCGTTAGCAGGAAGCTAGATTGGAAGCAGAATAGCTAGGATTCAAATAAGACTCTCCAATATGGGATGTGGATATCCCAAGTGCAACTTAACCACTGCACCACAACCCCATTCCTGGTTTTTAATATTTAAAAAAAAAATTCTGACAAGTGTATTTAAATATGTTAATGATTATCCCAGGATTTGAACTCAAAAGATTTCCATTTTTATTATTTTATAGGCATTTAAATGCCTTGTTATTTATGAATAAATTCTTTATATATATGGTACATTTTCACATTTTTAATTATCTTAATTTTAATAAATTTGGTGAGAGAATATAGACCATGTAATATTGATCATTTGAAATTTCTTAAGACTTTCTTTGTGGCCCAAAAAATGTTCTGTTTTTATAAATGCTTTATATATTCTAAAAAAATTATTTTTTTTTGTTTCTTGGGTTGTACTTTCTATAAAAAGTTCAATGGATTAAGTTTATAAATTATTTTCCTTAATATATGTTTCTGAAAAATATGTTTAAAATTCTAAACAAATGTTGGCAAAGATGTAGAGAAAAGGGAACTCTTTTTTTTAAAGATTTATTTATTTTACTTGAAAGTCAAAGTTACACAGAGAGAGAAGGAGAAGCAGAGAGAGAGAGGTCCTCCATCCACTGGTTCACTCCCCAATTGGCCGCAATGGCTGGAGCTGCGCCAATCTGAAGCCAGGAGCCAGGAGCTTCTTCCAGGTCTCCCATGCAGGTGCGGGGGCCCAAGGACTTGGGCCATCTGGCTTTCCCAGGCCAGAACAGAGAGCTGGATTGGATTGGAGCAGCCAGGTCTCAAACTGTTGCCCACATGGGATGCCGGCACTGCAGGTGGCGGCTTTACCCGCTATACCACATTGCCGGCCCCTGAAAAGGGAACTTTATACACTGTTAGTGGGAGCATAAATTAGTGCAACCACTATGGAAAACAGTATGTAGAGTTTTTAAAAAAAAAACTAGAAATAGATTGGCCATATGATCCAGCAATCGCATCATTGGATATATATCCAAAGACAAATACACATTGTGTCAAAGAAATACCTGCACCACCATATTTATAGCAGCACTGGAATGATGATTTAAATGTAGTATACCTATGTTTTATATTATGACTACCCTTAACCAAATATCCATATTTTATTTATTATTATTGCTAATATTGTGCCTACTGTTATTAGTTATGTTTCTTCCGCTAATGGATGTTAGCATCCTCTGTTTATTTTCTGAAAACACCATAACCCTCCATAATTCTTTTATTAACTAAATTTTGGCTTTAAGTTACTGTGGCTGTTTTCTATTTCTTTTGATCTTTCAGTTTTTTAATTCTAGAAATTGTCTCTGTTTCTTCAGATAATTTTCCTATATTCATTTCCTTCTTTGGGAAATCATAATTCAATTCTTTGTTTTTTAACTTTTCTTTATTATTTATAATTACTTTTCCATTTTCATTACCTTTTAAGAGAGTTCCTGGGTCTCATCTACTAATTTCACAAATTCATAGTCTATTTGTACATTTTTTACTACTTATTTTCCATATCTAAATTTCCACTTTGTTATTCCTTGTAACTTTTATTTTCTCATTTAATATTCAGGCATTTTCTATTGTCTCTCTGAAGCCTAGTTATACTTTTTGATAAGTTATTTATTCACTCATTCCAATAATTCTGCTTTAATTGATACATATTATTTGGTATATTGTATTTCTTTTATGTTCTTTTATCATGCTATATCGCCAGATATATAGGTATTTTGCCATAAAATTTCATTAGGCCTTTAGTAATTTTTTATGCTTAATTGAGTTGGACAGTTTTCACAGTCGCCTTCATTCTGTACCCTTCTTGCTTAGCATAAGTATGGAAGAAGGTGCAATGCCCCAAGCAGAAAGTTCTGAAACCACTGTTGCTCACTCCAGTTTGCTACCCCTCCACCAGGTCAGGAATCCTGTGTGAGTTCTCATAATTGTCCACATTAGGAAGAGGTGTTTTCTTAGGTTGTGATTCACCACCCCTTGGAGTTCTGAGCAAAAGGAGGTGGAGTAAAATGCTTGCACCTGCGACACCTCCCATCTGGCCTTTAAATCTGCCCTGTTAAATTCTGCCAACACCTGTGACCTAGTATGATGCTGTTGATTTTCTGGTGATCCATAATTTCCTCATGCTTTGCTTGCTTCCCAAAATGATTTTTCAGAGCAAACCAGCAGTTATTTTTCCTTTTCTTTGTGCTCCAGTCACACTTCTTTTCTTTCTGCCCCTTAAACAGAACAATCTGGCCACCACCACAAGTTCTTTGCAGTGGAAGTCCTATGGGCTTGGAATATGCTTTACTCAGACCCTCCTCACAGTCAAGTAGAGAGCCTAGTAAATGTGGAATAAATTTTGTAGAATAAATGAGCAAATAACATGTATGTTCATTACTTATCTTATTTTCATTATTTTTAATTTCTTTCTAAACATATGACCTGGATACTGAAGTAGTGCTATACCTTTATTTTCTGTTTTCAGTTCCTTTTCCTTTTTCATTGCCTTCCAGCAATGTTCCTCAGTCTGATCTTCTTCACATATATATTTGTATCCATCCAATTTTTTACATTATATGGCATACTGGTCATCACAGGTCTAAAATCTAAATTTTTCCATAACTAGTATTAAAATATGTTTATCATAAAAATATTTTTCAAGAAACTAGTGACATCAAAAATTTGTTTTGTTATACAATCTCATAAGGAAAAAAATCTCTCGTATTTTTGTTTTAGATAGATATTAAATTTAACTCTGTATCTTCTTTAGCTAGCTTATGTCAAAATAATGAGTTGCCAAATTGTATTTCACAAGTATTCATGTGCTCCTTACCAGAAATCTGGAATGTGGGCAGGGTGTGAATTATTTTTCGGATGAGGAAAGTAAGGTTTAAAGAGGTGAAATGAGTGGGTGGCAGATCAGTTATAAACTGATGTAGTTGTTTTTCTCACCATACGGGTTTGTGCCCAAGTATATGTTGTATTATTAGAGCAGAGATGTTGGAATTTTACTTTTCATTCATAGAAGATGTTTCATTTTCTTAACTTGGTTTTCAGTAGAGGAAACACTTAAAGTAACAACAGTAAAAGGTTATGAATATGAGGCACGGTTCTAACTTCCATACATATACTAACACACAAATCTCTTGATAGTTTTGAGAGGGTGGTGAAATTGTACCCATTTTGCAAACAAGAATAAGAAAGCACAGAAGAGTTAAGTAATCTGCCAAATTGTGCAGTTAGTGGTGAGGCTAGAATTACAAACCCAGAAATCTGACTTTTAATTATTATATTAATCTGTAACAATAAAAAATATTTTCCATAGAAAATAGAGAGCTTTCATGTCCATTATCTACTGGACCTCTCTACCACTCCATGGAGAAGAGAGACAGGATTTGATAGACAAACGGTATACTAAGTTTCAGAGAGAAGGCACCCTCTTTCACTCAGTAGCAAGTAGATGAAATCACACCTAAGTCCTTTCTTTTACAACCTAATTGCATCCCTGTTCTTTGACCATGTTTTATAGCCCATGATCATATTAGTTTACTGTTCTTCGAATACGTTTTTTTCCCTCCAGCAACTTATTTTATTGTGGGCTTAAGATGTTAACTCATTTGTAATATCTAAGGGATATTTTCTGTCTTACATTTTGGTGTTCCTTGATCATGTCTCTTGCAGCTGCATTGCGATGATTTCAGGAAAGAAGAAAGAGATGGAGGTTTTGTCTGTACTGATGGTGATACAGCTGTTTGTGGCACAGACGGGAAAACATACAGCAACAGATGTGAGCTGTGTGCTGAGAATGAGTAAGTATTCCCAGGAACAGGCATTCTTCCTAGAACGTGTTCTTGTATAACTACATGACACGGTTTTCATATAGTCTTAAAGATAAGAACCCATTTTTTAGGAGTTAGGCATCTATAAACTATTAGTACCACATCTTTTGCTACTCTGAAGAAAAAAGTTATATAATGTGTAATTCTGTCTTACAAAGTACTTTTGTGTGCAGTTTATCATATGATTAGCACTGTCTCTATGAAGTAAACAGGATAGGAAGATTCTATATAAACACACATACATATATGCATACATGTATGCATGCATACCCAATATGTACACACATATGTGTTATATACATACCTGTATATAGACATATACACTCTACCTATAATCTTTTATTCATTATTATTTTCTCTAACAGAGGTTGATTTCATCCTCAAATGACATTTAACCGCTCAGTAATTTATGATATTAGAATAGATAATTAGAATTTTCATATTAATCTTTGCATATATTCAACCTTTGTCAAATAGATAAAGTATTTGACTGGCCTGTATTTTGTCCCCATTTTATTCTTTCTCAACCCCCCCTCAATGTTAGATTTGGTGACTGTTTTCCACTAACAAGAAGGGCATACATGCTTTGCAGTTCTTCGTTGTAACTTCAGTCTTGAATTTCTTTTCAGTTTGTACAAATATAACAATCAGTGGTTGAGAAGTCTAGTTAGGTATATTATATATATTCATTCTTTGAGATTCTGTAAGCTGTACCCCTTCCTATGATTATTTTCATGAGAATGAAACAACATTAAATCACTCTGATCCTGCATATGACTTAAATTATCAGAAAACACTCTTAAAATATGCTCTCACTTGTCAGTATCAATGTAAAGAAACAGAAAGCAGAAGTAGAAAAAGATTTTTATTATATATATATATATAATTTGTGATGTTATGGCACTGTACATTTAATTCTTATGATAAATCATATAAAGAATCTTATTGTAGATCTTTAAATCTCTGGGTAAGGTGAAATCTTCTCTCCTCCCTAATTTCTCTTGTACTTTCCTTTTGTTATACAACAAGAATAATATTGCCCATTGTGTTTATTTCTGAGCTCTGAAAGCTAGATTTCGTATTGATACTGAGATTTAACTTTTGCTTCCCTCAGCTGATATCTTTTGAAAAAAAAAAAAAAAAACACTTTTTCTTATCAATTTTAAATACTTAGCTTTTCCTTGACATTGGTTTTATTGTGTTTTTATTTTTATGCACATGTTATGATTGTAAGCCACTTTATTTTTTTAGAAATAGGAAGCATCTCTTAAAAAAAAGATTTATTTCTGTGAAAGGCAGAGTTACAGAGAGGTAGGGGCAAAGAGAGAGAGAGAGAGAAGCCTTCCATCTGCTCACTCCCCAAATGGCTGCAACAGCCAAAGCTGGGCCAAACCGAAGCCGGGAGCCAGGAGCTTCTTCAGGTCTCCCACGCAGGTGCAGGTGCCCAAGGACCTGGGCCATCTTCGACTGCTTTCCCAGGCCATAGCAGAGAGCTAGATCAGAAGTAAAGCAGCGGGGACTTAAACTGGCACCCATATGGATGCCGCCACTGCAGGCAGTGGCTTTACCCACTATGCCACAGTGCCAGCCCCAAGAAGCATCTCTTTACCTCTTCTATTTATGTGTTTTCACATTTGCTTTAAAGCCCTATTAGACTGAACAAATTTAATTATCAGGACTTTATGTACTTTCCATGAAAAACAAAATGTTAGTGTAATCCATACGAACAGTGAGATGCTGGAAAATACAAACTTGAATTTACTTATTTAAAATGAGAAAAACAACAAGAGCAAAATTCCTTGGAGGATACAAAATCCCAATTACAAGCCTTCATTTCTCCATCTTCCCATGTGAATCCCCACCCTGGTAATAGGAGGAAAGAAAAATATTTACAAGTCCGAGTCTTATCAGCCCTCCAAACATGATTCCGTATCTTGGACTTCAAGTCATAATCATAGGTTTTCATTGGGAAAAGTAAGTAAAGAAAAGTATGCAATATTCTGTTTTCAGGAACAAAAGAGAATTACAACACAATAGAGAGAAACTCGATTTATGTAGTGGAAAGTTCTGTGACAGTGTGTCTATTAACTTTTGATTACAGGAAAACCAGTTCCCAAGTTGGCATAAAGAGTGAAGGACAATGTGAGAGCAGTAATCCAGTTCAGGTAAGGACAAATGTCAGAGTCATGGGAAATATTGGGGTTTGACATCAAGGAGAAAGCAGAGGCATAGCACTTCTTTCTTTAGTAGAATACTTAATTGGAAATAATTATTTTTCAAAACATTTGTTTTTTTGAATCACGGGGAGAGAGAGCAAGAGAGAGAGAGAATGAATATCTTCCATCCACTGATTTACTCCCCAAGTGGCCACAACATCCATGGTTGGTCCACTCTGAAGGAACCAGGAACTCTATCCTGGTCTGCCATGTGGGTCGTAGGGACACAAGTGCTTGGGCCATCATCCGCTGCCTTCTCAGGTATGTTAGCAGAGAGCTGGATGGGAAACAGAGTAGCTGGGACTTGAACCAGGACTCCAATATGGGATGCCATTGTTGAAAGTAACCACTTAACCCACTACATTACAACACTGGCCAGAAAGGAAAGGATTCTTCCTTTACTTAAAATGGAATAATGGCAGCTGCTTGATAATATGTAAACCCAATTGAGAGTCCCAAAAACTGGATTAGGTTTCTTTGATGGTTAGATGTTTTAGTTCTGTTTCTTCTTTCCATTAAAAAGAAGACTCATTTGCAAAGATGTAATGTTTTTCTTTTTCTCTTAACAAATTTTATTTTTTCAAATTTAGTCTCTGTCTAAAAAAAAGAAATCAAGGGGAAACTGAATATGTAATAGAAATGGTATTAAATATCAGTCATTTATCCTAAGTGTTCAGCATTGTTACTTGTTATCAGGAGACCTTAGGCAAATTACTTAAACTAAATGAAATTTGAACTAAATAGCTTCTTTCTGTGCTAAAATTATGTGAGCCTATGATGATAGTGGAAGGAAGACAGTGTCTTACACATGTGACACTTTTTCTAGCTACACAATTTTCCTAATTTTCAAGGTTGGGTGCGCTTTATGCTTCAGCAAGGCATTTAGCTCATCCTGCTCAATGTCACATCACCTAAGAGATCGTGATCACATTGAGGGCAAGGACTGTGCCCTGCTTGAGTTCTAGCACATAGTAGGTTGTCAATGTTTATTGCATAAATAAATGAATAAGTAAATGAACTCCATACCTAACGGTATGCATTGTAGAATACTTACTAAACTACTTCTACAAGCCAGCACTTCTCTAGGTGGCTAAAGTCCATAATAACATCAGTTACTAAGTTGTGTAAAATTTCTGAGGACACTGTAGTAAGCATTAATATCAGGATGGTGAATGCCAAGTTCTTCTTCCTGTTCCTTAGGATGTATGCAGTGCTTTCCGGGCCTATGTGAAGGATGGACGACTTGGATGCACAAGGGAAAACGATCCAGTTCTGGGTCCTGATGGGAGGACACATGGCAATAAGTGTGCCATGTGTGCAGAGCTCTTGTAAGTATCATTACCCCCAGGGGGACCTGTGAGGGTAACCTCGGCTGCTGTCCTCAGAACCACCCACAGATGAAGCCCTTTTCACAAACAATGCAATCCTTGTCTTTATAATATGAAATAGACCCTACTCTCAGAAAGACATTTTTTTCTTTTTCTTCATATCATCTATTGACATTTCTTAAAAGCAGAAGTGTAAATCTGAAATGGTTTAATTTTTAAAAATTACAATCCCTTGAAATCACATAGTGCTTAATAAGGTATAATATGTTAAAATTAGAAAGCACTTTAATATAGAATAACCTAAGTCCATTATTGGACATCATTGCTTCATTTGGGCCTTTTTAGAGAATCTTACTGAATAATGACAGTATAATTAAAATAATAAAAAGCCATGTGTCTGAATCTATTTTTATTGTAAAAGGAACATTATGAGAGGCAAGAACTATTGAATTAATCTGTCTCTCTCTGAGCAACTGGCACTGCACTGGGAACTGAAGACTCACATGTGGGTAAAGTGCTGTATTTACATCACTGGATCTTTAAGATCTGGATAGAGAAAGATTTGACAGTAAAATTAATCTCTGCCTTTGAAAATTACAGTTAGCCATCATAGAACTCAAGAGAGTATTCTATCAGGTTTATAAAATAATAGTTATAACTGCTTTCTAGATAGGAAATCAGCCTGATTTCCACTTTATCTGGGAGGCATGTCCTTTTGGTGTTTAAAATTACCCTAATTCTGTGATTTGCTATTTCTCTTCATACAGTAACTGAAAAGAGAATTTGACCTCTCTAACTCCTCGTTTCTTCCTCTGTAGTACTGAAATAGCAAATTGTATCTCCATAGTGAGACTGTAGTCTGGTAACAGTTCTACCAAAGGGCTTAGGAGCTCAAATCAGTCTAGCTCTTACTAACAGCTATACTTTCCATGAAGGCAAATACTTTACAAAATTTAAATTTAAAGTCATGGACTGGTGTTTGATATAGTGGTTAAGAGGCCACGTGTTGAGTGCCTGGGTTGGAGCTTCTTGCTAATGTACACTGTGGGAGGCAGCAGGTGATAGCTCATTTGGGTTCCTGCCATTCACATAGGAGAACTGGATTAGCTATTTTGCAAGTATTTTGGGAGTAAACCAGTAGATGGAAGATAAGATCTCTGCATATCTTTCTGTCTGTCTCTGTCTATCTACCTTTATATGTATATATAAAGTATATGTGTATATATATATATATATAAAGTATATAAAGTGTGTGTGTGTGTGCACGTGTGTGTATGGATGTGTGGTGAAAGGGTATGGGTGAAATTATCTTCAGGGCTCAATTTGATCTAACCCTTGTAACAGTATTGTTTTAAAGTCCTTGGTTTTGCCTGTTAAAGGAAATTTTCTGGCAATCTTCTATTTGTCAGTCAAGACATCACACAAACCAGTTTTCAGAACAAAGCTTCTAATTGACTGTCAGTGAGTCACACCTTCTTTATCTTTGGCAGTTTCTCAAGTCAGGCATTCCAGGGAGGGAAATGCTTATCCCCTGTAAGGGGATGAGTTTCTACAAGTTGTAGCAGAGAATAGGAAAGTGCTTAGCATAGGACTGGATGCTGAAAATAGGATCCATCATACATTGTCTAGTTGTTTCCTTCTCTTAACAGTTTAAAAGAAGCTGAAGAAAATGCCAAGCGAGAAGGTGAAGCCAGAATTCCACGAGATGCAGAAAAGGTAAATGACTCACCAACAGATTTGCTTCTTGTGGCGAGGAGTATCAGCAAGCTTAACTGTGAACCCTTGAAATAATGCAGTGTCATTGTTCATTATTATTAAATGGACTTTCCTCCTTAATATAAAAGTCCTGCAAACTGACTATTCCTACTCTATTGATAATTAGATTCAGATTTAAAGTGACATGTCCTACCTATGGCTCAAAATGTGGAGTTTCCACATTTACTTCCCCACTTCCTCTCAAAAAAAAAAAAAAAAAAAGATGTAAGACAAAGTTTATGTATACTGAATTCTGCTTAATTTCCACTTGTATTCTCTCTGGTTTACTGTATTCGTATTTTGCTTTGATTAGATTTTTTTTTTTTTTTGACAGGCAGAGTGGACAGTGAGAGAGAGAGACAGAGAGAAAGGTCTTCCTTTGCCGTTGGTTCACCCTCCAATGACCGCTGCTGCCGGTGCACCGCGCTGATCCAATGGCAGGAGCCAGGTACTTCTCCTGGTCTCCCATGGGGTGCAGGGCCCAAGTATTTGGGCCATCTTCCACTGCACTCTCTGGCCACAGCAGAGAGCTGGCCTGGAAGAGGGGCAACCGGGACAGAATCCGGCGCCCCGACTGGGACTAGAACCCGGTGTGCCGGCGCCGCAAGGTGGAGGATTAGCCTAGTGAGCCGCGACGCTGGCCGCTTTGATTAGATTTTGAATAAATTATAGCATATTATGAATTAGACAAGGATATCTTTAAAATGATTCTATTATATCCACAAATGCATTATCTATAAATTCCCTTGACACAAGGTGGACTTACTCACTTTGCCATTATGGTTGTTTGTTATGTTTAGAAAGATCTAAATTTATAAAGATTTTATTCCTGCTAAGACAAAAATTTCGGATAAACACTAAGAATGTGATTTTCTAAATGCCCCTGAAATTAAGTTCTTTCCAAATTATTTGACAATCTAATTTTTCAGTCTAGTAAAACTACCTTTTCCTGGGAGCAGGTATTTAGCATAGTTCACACAGTACAACACACAAAGGAGTATTTGAATTTAAAACCTGGCTCTAGTCTCTGACTCTAGCTTCCTGCTAATGCAGATCTTGGGAGGTATCAGTGACAACTCAAGTAATTGGGTTCCTGGCACCCACGTGGAAGACCTGGATTGCATTCTCTGGTCCCAGCTTCAGCCTTTCCCAGCCCTGGCTCTTTTGGGCATTTGAGGACTGAACCAGTAGATGAGAGCAATCTTTCACTGTCTCTCTGCCTCTCAAATAAATAAAATATTTTAAAATATTTCATGTATTTGCTTGAGAGGTAGAGTTACAGACAGAGAGAGGGAGAGACAGAGAGAAAGGTCTTTACTCACTGGTTCACTCCCCAAATTGCTGCAATGGCCAGAGCTGAGCCGATCTGAAGCCAGGAGCCAAGAGATTCTTCTGGGTCTTCCACGTGAGCGCAGAGGCTCAAGCACTTGGACCATCTTCAACTGCTTTCCCAGGCCATCAGCAGAGAGCTGGATAGGAAGAGGAGCCGCCAGGACTTGAGCTGAACTGATGCCCATATGGGATGCCAGCGCTGCAGGCGAAGTCTGAGCTTCCCGTGCCACAGTGCCGGCCCCCTAAATAAATATTTTTAAAAGGATATTCCTTTCCTAATTAAATTAACACCATAGGCAACACAGTCTCCATTTCTCAAGCACAAAGGTCACTGAAACCTACTTTCAGTGAGAGGGACATGAGTTTCTTTGCTAAATGGCTAGCCTTTTGTCAGAAAGTCAGAAGGCCTTCATTCTGTCATGCTGTGGCTGTGTGACATTGAGTAAATGCTGTCCTCCCTGGGCCACAGGGAAATATGGAAGTTGAGATAAATGACCTCAGTTTTACCCTTCTGTTGAGTAGTGAATCTATGCCTGCACTCTTTTGTACTAACACAAGTTTACTATTATTGTGGAATGTATAGTGTGGCTTTTCCAAGAGGAAGATGCAGTCCTAGTTTCTGGTACTTAAGAGCGGAACTCTGCTTAATGAAGTTAAGTTCCCATCTCAAATCCAGCATTCAGAATTTAAATTAGAGAAATGAAATATTCTGAGCTGTCTATAGTTTGCTCATTACTCACAAAGGGTTAGACAGCAATTCTTTTGTGGTGGTTGGCAACTTTCAGTCTGAAACTTGGGATCATCTTGTGATACTTACCATTTTATTAATCCAAAGGCATAGAACCTACTTTTTTTTTTTAATCAGGTCTGAGCTTTACCTCTCTATTCGGTGTGGCTGGGGTCATTATTGTGGAGGGGTTATTACGCGTAATTATGTTGAGTAGAACTGCTTCGTGGTGATGACTCAATATGTGTCCCGTAATTAACCTGTCAGTGGGTTGATCACAAAAATGCTTCTCCAGAATCTCCGTGGATGAATCACAGCTTATAAACTGAAATTACCATTGTTTCTCTAATGGAACTCATTAAGCATTAATTTATGGCCATGCTGTGATTATCAGGTGACAGTCTTCTGCATCTGTGTTCCTAGATTGTTACAACCAGGAAGTTTGGAGCACACCCATTGCTCCTCCACATACCAACTATCTTTTTGTTAAGAGGAAGCTAGGAATCTCTTTTAAAATACCCTAAAGATTATTAAAAAGAAGCAGAGAACACTGTCCAGAACAGGTCCCATCTTGCATCTACTCCAAAAACCTCACTGTGTAGAGTGTAAGATTGAGATCCCAAAGGAGATGAGCCTTTTCTGTGGCCTCCCACTGAGTTACAGCCTCAGTGTAGTGTCCATGGCGTGACACATTTTTTTGTAAGATTTATTTATTCATTTCAAAGGCTGAGATATGGAGCAGGGGTGGGGATTGGGTGCTGGGGGAGGTGGGGCGGCTGCAACAGCTGAGGCTGGCCAGACCAAAGCCAGGAGCAAGGAACCTTTTCCTAGTCTCCCAGGTAGGTGCAGGGGCCCAGTCACTTGGGCCATCTTCTGCTGCCTTCTCATGTGCATTAGCCAGGAGCTGGAGCAGCTAGGACTTCAACCAGCACCCATATTGGGTGCCAACATTGGGTGCAGTGGCTTAACCTACTACACAACACTGGCCTTCCATCTACAATTTTGATATTCATATTTTGGTTGACATGAGAAAATGAGGATAACACAGTTGAAAAGTTATAGAGCAGTAATTTTTATAGATTATATTATGGTAAAATATTTCATCTCAACCTATGATTCTTGACATAAAGACTTTAAGCCTAGGGTAATTGGAGGTGTACTTTAATGTTCAGTTTAGCCTTAACCAAATAGGAGAATTTTAAAAACAGAAATAAATCTGAAAGTACTGAGCCAAAGTATCAGGAAACCTGAAAAAAAACTTTTGCAGTTTTTTTTGACATTTATGATATTTTTTAGGTTTTCTAAATATTAGTCTTCATGGTCTATCTTTAAAAAGTAGGCATGAAAGGAAGTTAGATTTACTCACTGAGATTTTCACCTACAGTGTCACAAAACACATGGATAAAAGGAAACAAAGCACACAAAAACTTATGCAGAAGCCCACAAGGAAGCAGACTGAAAGCTTCATGCTGTTGGGTACCATATTGTTCATGACTTGATCCCTACTAAGTAACTTTTAAACAGTTCATCTCACAAAAACTGTCTTACTCTCTTCAACTGCTTCATGTTTTGTGTTGTCCTAGTTGTTCCATTCTGTTGTGTTTGTGTTGGAGCCTCATGAGAGATTTTTCCCCCTGTAAATCTAGAAGTTAAAAAGAACTAACTGCTTTTAGTTGCAGGAAAAATTTAGACAGCCTTATTTTTCCCTAGGCTCTTCAAATAGATGCAACACATAACAGACACAAGTTTGAGTAATCTAACAATATATGTACTGTTTCTCATCAATCCTCCAAAATATGTTGTATGCCTTCATCAGTACTTCTAGGGATGAAATCTTTTTTTTTTAACTTTTATTTAATGAATATAAGTTTCCAAAGTACAGCTTATGGATTACAATGGCTTCCCCCCCAATAACTTCCCTCCCATCTGTAACCCTCCCCTCTCCCGCTTCCTCTCCCTTTCCATTCACATCAAGATTCATTTTCAATTCTCTTTATATACAGAAGATCAATTTAGTATATATTAAGTAATGATTTCAGCAGTTTGCAACCACACAGAAACACAAAGTGTAAAATACTGTTTGAGTACCAGTTATAGCATTAAATCACAATGTACAACACGTTAAGGACAGAGATCCTACATGAGGAGTAATTGCACAGTGACTCCTGTTGTTGACTTAATAATTTGACACTCTTGTTTATGGCGTCAGTAATCTCCCTAGGCTCTTGTCATGAGTTGCCAAGGCTATGGCGGCCTTTTGAGTTCACCGACTCTGATCGTATTTAGACAAGGTCATAGTCAAAGTGGAAGTTCTCTCCTCCCTTCAGAGAAAGGTACCTCCTTCTTTGATGACCCATTCTTTCTACTGGGATCTCACTCACAGAGATCTTTCATCTAGGTTGGTTGGTTGGTTGTTTTTTTTTTTTTTTTTTTTTTTTTTTGCCAGAGTGTCTTGGTTTTCCATACCTAAAATACTCTCATGGGCTCTTCATCCAGATCCGAATGCCTTAAGGGCTGATTCTGAGGCCAGAGTGCTGTTTAAGACATCTGCCATTCTATGAGTCTGCTGTGTATCCCGCTTCACATGTTCGATCGTTCTCTCCCTTTTTTTTTTTCTGACATGAAATCTTAGGATTATAAATCAAGGAGTGGAAATTTCTGGCTTTAAGAGTTTTTCTGGAAAATTATAAATCTAATGATTTATCTTTTTATAGGATCTTTGCAAGGAATATGAGAAGCAAGTGAGGAATGGAAGACTTTTTTGCACACGAGAGAGTGACCCAATCCGTGGCCCTGATGGCAAGATGCATGGCAACAAATGTGCCCTGTGTGCTGAAATTTTGTGAGTATAGAAGCACTTTCTTTAGTCAATGAATAGGTGAACGTGGAGATGGTCTGAATGAGGAATAAAAACAATGTCCTCCACAAATCGTTACACTGCCTCTTAAGTAGGCATTAATGATGTATGTATTTTTCTGAGGACAAATGGATTCTACTTTTTTGCTGGAAGACAGACACAGTACTTCCTAGACTTTCCCTCTGTGACCTTTATGAGCCTCTTTTTGAACTAGTCATAGTATAGAATGGGACATGACTTGGATGGTTTTTCTTCAGTAATTATCCCATTATGACAGAGTTGATGAGATGATCTTAAAAAAATTCATGTTCCAGGACAGGTGCTTTGGTGCAGCTTGTTAAGCTGCCACTGGGGATGCCTGTATCTCAAATCAGAGTTCCTGGTTTGAGTCCTGGCCACTCTGTGGCTCTAGTTCAGATTCCTGCTAATGCATCTGGGAGGCAGCAGATAATGGGCCAAGTACTTGGGTTCCTGTCACCAATGTGGGGGACCTGGATGGAGATCCTCCTCCTGGATTCTGCCAGCCTGCTGCTAGTTCTTCTATTTTGTCTAGTTAATGTCCCCTCCTCTTGTAAATTGCATTTAAGGTTATCCTTCCTTGGATAAGACTGTGTCACTCAAAAGTCACACTAAAGTCACTCAGTGAAGTTCAATTCCTCATCATCCCTGGTAATTTTCTGTAATAGCAATCATCTCAGTTGGTAATTATAATAATTATTTCTATGACTACTTGTTGACTATCACTCCTCCTTCATAAGCTACAAGTACAAAGAGAACAGGATATGTGCTGGTACTCACATTGTACACTATGGTTTTCCTGAGGGCTAGCCCAGGGCTTGCCAAAAATAGAGTCACTAACTAAATGAATGAATGAATATGGGAATAAAGATGCTTGCAGTCAAGAAGCTTAAAGTTAATAGAAGAAATAAACCACAGACATGTGCACACATTTATATATTGCAAGACAGAATGAATACTGGGATGTATGAGCAGAATATTCAGGTGTCAAAACATAGCAACGGACATAGAGCTCATTTCTATTTGGGGTCTGTGTTGCCTTCTGGAAAAAGTAGAAGTTAAGCTGGGGATGTTCAGAAAGATGAGAGAAAGATCATTATACTAGAAGGAAATGGTGTACAGAAAAAGAGAAAGTGAAGGGTGCTTTGGAGAGATTTAAGGTGGTTTGAAAGTGGTTGTACTGGGTCTCAGAAAAGCTTAGCTGCTTTTCCATATGTGCTTAATGACTATTTGGTAGCATGAAGATTTGAAGCATCTCTACTCTTTTATTCTTCTTTTCCAGCATGCGACGTTTTACAGAAGAAAAAAACAAAGCAGATAAAACACCGAGAAAAGCTGAAGATAAGGTTAAAGTTAAAAAAGAAATAGAGGTGAGAATTAGTTTCACACTTTTCTATGTCAGGTGGGTGTATTATTCTGTATGCAATTTCAATATTAGTTAATGTTTCCCCACTATTAATAGGCTTACTGGAAATTAATTTGTAGTTATTTTATAAGACTTAGAAGAATAATTGTGGCATTATAATTTCTAGCTGTTTGGCAGAAATTAATCATATTAGTAAACAGGTTCTATACTCCTAGATGAAGGTGATATATCACTTGAGCATCTGAATTCAAACTGTGATATGTACCCTTCAAAAGTATGATAGTTGTTGTGGAGGTATTCTTAAACGTAATTTTGTAGAATTTTAATGTGTTTCCTTTGAAATCACATAGCATTCTTTTTTAAATTTCATTAATATGAAGAGAGCAGATTTCATGTATTTCATAGATACAGTTCTGAAAGATAACCACATTTCCTGCTTTGTAATCACCTCTCGACTCGTCATCTGTTTGCCTTTCTAGTGCTGCCATCTCAGTTCAGACACTTTTTCCTTTGCCTTAATGCATTAGCATCCTGTCTAGTCTGTGTACTTTTAGTCTCTGTCTCAATCTTCAGATTCAATTTGTCTTCTGCATAGTTTGCATATAATAGGAAATGTTTTTGTGAGAGAATAGCATTTTGCAATTTCAATGTTTGAAGGTATCTTAGAGTATATTTGGACTGTTTCATTCTGTGTAGTTGATTTGTTTCTTAGAGCTATCTAGTTTTCTATATTGTATAGTTCACAGTTTTATGAAGTAACCCACTCCATCAAGCTATCTGCCTACTCCATTAAGCTACCTGCCTTATGGTAATTCCATCTTATTGCTTAGGTATCACCTTTTTTTAAGATTTATTTATTTATTTGAAAGGCAGAGTTACACAGAGAGAGAAGTAGGCAGAGGGGAGAGGGTCTTTCATCCGCTGGTTCACTCCCCAATTGGCTGGACAGCCAGAGCTATGCCTATCCAAAGCCAGGAGCCAGGAGCTTCTTCCAGGTCTCCCACACAGGTGCAGTGACCCAAGTACTTGGGCCATCTTCTACTGCTTTCCCAGGCCATAACAGAGAGCTGGATCGGAAGTGGAGCAGCTGGGACTAGAACTGGTTCCCATGTAGGATGCCAGCACTGCAGGTGGTGGCTTTATTCATTATGCCACAGCACTGGCCCCAAGGTCTCACTTTCAGCTTCTTTCTTCCATTCAGTCCTAGGTTATCAAATTATTTTAATTTTAGTACTTAAATGTTTGTCAAGTTGTTTACCTTTCATTTCTAATCCCTCCTTTCCTCCCTCCCTTACTCTCTGCTGCTGCTGCTGCTCCTTCTCCTCCTTCCTCTCTGTCTCTCTCTCCCTCTGTCTCTTTCTCCATCTCTTGCTGATTCTTTTCTTTAATTTTGATTTCTATTCACTCAAATCTTCAACGCATCTTACTGGCAGTCTTTCTAAAACAAGGATTTGATTCTGTCATTCTCTTTTTAATCTATTTTTGATTTTCCCATTAGCTAAGAATAAAACTCAAGTTCCTGTCAAAGTTTAGTAGCCTTGTTTTGATCAATTCTCAAAGTCTCCTATTTGAGTACTTCCCAAACCTTTTTTCCATTACCCTCTGAATTCTTTAGCCACTATAATAATGGAAATGACGGACTGTTTTCAAAGAACGTGTTCTTTAATGCCCATATAGCTTTGGATATAATAATTACTACTAGAAGATTTTTTTGCCACATTGATTTCTTTGATATATCTTCCATGTAGAATTCATGAGACAGAGAGAAAGGTCTTCCTTCCATTGGTTCACCGCCCCAGATGGCTGCTACAGCCGGCACACCACGCTGATCTGAAGCCAGGAGCCAGGTGCTTCTCCTGGTCTCCCGTGCGGGTGCAGGGCCCAAGCACTTGGGCCATCCTCCACTGCCTTCCCGGGCCACAGCAGAGAGCTGGACAGAACCGGCGCCCCAACTGGGACTAGAACCCCGGGGTGCCTGCGCCGCAGGTGGAGGATTATCCTAGTGAGCTGCAGCACCGGCCTGTACTTGTGTATACTTAATTGGGACCCCTGTTATATTCTTTAGGTGTGTCTGTGGAAATGACTCATCCTTTCTACCTGGCTAATGAAGGATCACAATCACATTCATACTTATATCCCTTTAACTTTGCACATTTTCCTTAAATGAATGAATATTACAAGGAAAGAACTATCCTGAAATTTTTGAATGATCTTAAAAGCCTGGGAATTTTTCTATCTGGAATTCTTTTCCAATTTATTTGATAAAAACCACTTAAAATATATTAATAGAAAATAGAGAAATTATGTAAATAATCTCATTTTCATTATTCAGAAACTCTGCAGTGAATTTCAAGATCGTGCAAAAAAGGGGACACTTTTCTGCACCAGAGAAAATGACCCTGTTCGTGGCCCAGATGGGAAAATGCATGGCAACTTGTGTTCCATGTGCCAAGCCTTCTTGTGAGTATAGACTGCCAAAGAAAGAAGGGACCTTACATATAGTCTAATAGAATCCATTTCTGTCAAAGATGGGGCAACTAGCTCAAAATAGGGAAGGGAGTTGAGTCAGTTACACCGAGAACAATAGCAGTAGAGCTGGGAGTAAGGAACTAGAGTTGTTTGTTCACTTGTCTGACACTCCTTCTCTGAGCCCAAGAACCTCCTGGCAAACATGAACTGCTGAAGCTTCATTTGTGAATCTGATCTTCCAAGCCCATTAGGGTCTACAGCTAGCAACTAACATAGAAATTGAATGAATGCAGTCAAATTTTCCATGAGAAAATAATGAATTCCTATAAAATTACAGTAAATGCTACTTTATAAATATGGTTCTTTTTAATAAATTAGAACTAGTAGTTGCCTTTTAAGATTTAGTTGAACTCTCTATTAGGTTGAATTCAGATAACTGTTTGACTAATATTTGGAATCTATGGCTTTGTAAAATAATGATTTTTTTTTTTTTTTTTGAGAACAAGAAATGCAGAGGGAGAGGTAGGAGGGAAAGGGGAGGGGGAGGGAAGTGCAAGAGGGAGAACACCCAACTACTGATTCACTCCCCAAATGTCCATAACAGCCAGATCTGGGCTAGGACCAAAGCTGGGAGTTGGCAACTCAGTCCAGTTCTCCATATGGGTGGGAAAAACTCAATTTCTTGAGCCATCACTATGGCTTCGCAGGGTCTGTGTTAGCAGAACACTGAAGTCAGGAGTCAGAGCTGGGTTATAGGCATCTTGATCCCTATAACCTATAAGCTCTCCCTATAAGCTCTCCCTGCTTTTTGTTTTGATTGGCAGCTGTATTAGGTTAAGTCTACATACCAAGCAATTCCACTGCACAAAGTAAATTTAAGTCTAGGTAGTTTATCAGTGTATGGAATTATCGGCCTTTTCTCACCTGCCTCGTGGTTTTTTTGTTTTTGTTTTTGTTTTTTTTTGATAAAAAAGCCACAAATAAGCAATGCATTTATGTTTAAATGCGGTTTAGAGAATGCATGATGTGACAGATACACCATAGACTTGAGAGAGAAGATCTTGATGGTAGTCGTATCTTGAGAGAATAACAGAGTCCCTTTGTGCTTCTCACCCTCTGTGAGAAACAAGAGGATAAGTCAGTGTGCTTTGTTAAGGTCACTTTCACCTCCTTCTGCTTTGTCATTATGGTTCCAGTGTTGATACCTTCTTTTAGATGATGATCCTTTTCTCTCTTTTTAAGGTTTATTTATTTTATTTGGAAGGCAGAGTTACAGGGAGGGAAGGAGGGAGGGAGGGAGGGAGGGAGGGAGGGAGGGAAGGAGAGAGAGAAAGAGATCTTCTATCTGCTACCCCACTCCCCAAATGGCCAAACAGCTGGAGCTTCTTCTCTGTCTCCCATGTTGGTACAGTGGCTCAAGGACTTGGACCATCTTCTACTGCTTTCCCAGGCCATAGCAGAGAGCTGGATCAAAAGTGGAGCAACCATGGCCGGCGCCGCGGCTCACTAGGCTAATCCTCCGCCTAGCGGCGCCGGCACACCGGGTTCTAGTCCCGGTCGGGGCGCCGGATTCTGTCCCGGTTGCCCCTCTTCCAGGCCAGCCCTCTGCTGTGGCCAGGGAGTGCAGTGGAGGATGGCCCAGGTGCTTGGGCCCTGCACCCCATGGGAGACCAGGAAAAGCACCTGGCTCCTGGCTCCTGCCATCGGATCAGCGCGGTGCGCCGGCCGCAGCGCGCCGGCCGCGGCGGCCATTGGAGGGTGAACCAACGGCAAAGGAAGACCTTTCTCTCTGTCTCTCTCTCTCGCTGTCCAGTCCACTCTTCCTGTCGAAAAAAACAAAAAAAAAAAAAAACTAAAGTGGAGCAACCAGGACTTGAACTGGTGCCTATATGGGATGCCACATCGCAGATGGCAGCTCTACCCATTATGCCACAGCGCCAGCCCTTATGCTCCTTTTCATACAACAGGGAAGAAGGCTAATTTATAGGAAGCAAGTTTTCCATATTACTGTTGCCATCTTTACTTTAACAGGAAACAAATTATGAAGAAGTCTTGGTATCATGGCTTAGTGAAGGCTGTTTTCTTCCCACTTGTATATAGTTAGGAAGGGACAGTTATCGCCCCGCCCCCAAGGAGGGGGGACAGATCCCTATGCTGGGGCATGGAGAAATCCTTGCGTTTGTTTGGTCATAACTGATTCCATTCTCTGTAATTCAGCAAAGCAGAAGCTAAAGAAAAGAAAAAGGTTGAAGCTCAACTAAGAAATAAAAGAGAAGCTGGAAAAACACCCTCATATGACGTGAGTGAGATCCATTCAGTAAATCCTTCTTGGCACTATAAATTGAACACACTTCAAAGAGCCTAAATTCAGGGTAGAATTTTGCCCTGGAAAAATCCCCAGAAAATCTTAGCTCTTCTATCTGGGAATGACATTGAAATGAATGCTATGGGAGATTGATCTGCTTGCTCTTGCTGCTTCAAAGAATAACCATGTAAAATAGAAAGAACTTATTTAGAGACTGAAAAACTGAGTTCTATGTCTGGTTTTATCACTTGCAAACTGTGTTAGCTTTTGCTGACCACTTTCCAGAGAAACTCTACATTTATACTTTGTAAATAGGATTTTCTGAAACTTCTCATCAAAGTTGAGATGAAATACCTTGATTCACAAAATGCATGATTTTTACTTCTGAAATTTTACAATATTCATTTCCAAAGCCTTAGATCAGTTATCATCATGTATTATCCCAATGATGAAAGTCTCCTAATTTCTCTCCAGTTTCTCTCCTTTCCCTTATGTTGCTATCATGAAGACAGATAATGTTTCAAAATGTAAATCAGACCATAATGCTCCTCTTCTTAATCCCACCAATAGCTTACCATCAGCTACAGGGTATGTTTAAAAATCCTTCTCTTTCTTATCTGGGTCTTAGTGCCACTCACAAATTCATATTCTTCTATGTACCATACAGTTTCCCACCTGTTTTTCTTGGCTGATTTTATTTGCACAGTCTAGTGTGCATATTTCACAATTCCACTTTTAGGCCAAAACAAATCCTGTTGACTCATCGCAGTCTCACCTAAATCATTCTTGACCTCTTCCCTCATTTCTACAGTCAGATTTCATAGTTCAAACCTTTGAAATGTCAAATATTCTTGAACCTGTGTGTTTGCACTTATATTCTGTTTAGTTTATAGTCAAGTTTGATTGTCTACATTTTCTATTATATTGGGAGTTTATGTCTTATTTTTTCTACCTCCTAAAAATGGTAAGATTTCTTGTATAATTGAATCTTACATTTGAGAGAAACATAATAAAATCCTGGGTTTAATGAGATATAACACTAGTTGTTGCCAACTTGTGTCATAGATGGGAAACTAATTCAAAATAGGGAAGGGAGTTGAGTCAGTTACACAGAGAACAATAGTGGTAGAGCTGGGAGTAAGGAACTAGAGTTGTTTCTTCACTTGTTTGCTCTGACACTCCTTCTCTGAGTCCAAGAATTTCCTGACAAACATGAACTGCTGAATCTTCTGCTTTAAATAGGAATAAAATATTACATCCAGCTTGCTTTCTAAATCTTGGCAGGAGCTTTGCAGTGAATACCGGAACTTGATGAGGAACGGAAAGCTCCTTTGCACCAGGGAGAATGACCCCATCCAGGGCCCAGATGGGAAAATGCATGGCAACACCTGCTCCATGTGCGAGGCTTTCTTGTGAGTAGAGCAGCAGCTGGGAAAGCAAGGGAAAGTTTTGAATTTTCTACTTCACATCTTGTGTTCCATTATGAGAAGAGCATTTCAACAGAAAATAAGAGAATTAGAGTAAATTTAGAGAGATTGCATAATTGGAGAAATGTGTGAAAACCATATCCTTTGTGGATTATGAAGATGGGGCAGTTTAGCAAGGGGAGAGTCTCATCCTTGAAATATTCAAGTAGTTTCTATTTCCAATTGTGGAAACATTTATAAAATATTTTAGATTGTTGCCATATATGAAAGCGAGGAATGAGCTTGTGAGTAATACTCGAGAAGAAGACAGGGTGCAGCTCAGTGCTGGGAGATCTTCCTAACCATTTAGGATTTCTGGTAGAATGACTTAGCATTGGGTGTCAAGGATGATGCAAGTAGAGACATTTCTGACAGACTGAAACAAAAGCTAGTTAGTTTTCAGAGACAGAGTAATGGGCACTCACTGGAAGCTTAGAAAAATATACTAGGTTTTAAATCACTTATATATTTTGTTTCTTTGGGAAAGTGATGCGTTCCATCATTTTTCTTATTTTTAAATTGGGTTTGTGCTAATAGTTTCACTGCATGCAGTTATAAAGATTTCAGAATATGAGCACAGGGTAGGCACATAAAAAGTAAACATAATTTAGTGAGTGCTAACTCTAATAATTATATTATATTTGAGATCACTTCAGTTATGAAAATTCTATGATTCTTACTCATCTTTTTTTCTTATCCATTCTCTTTTAGCCAAGCAGAGGAAGAAAAGAAAAAGAAGGAAAGTGAATCAAGAAATAAAAGACAATCTGAGAATACAACCTCCTTTGAGGTGAGAGGGCCACCAACAAGTGAGAAGCATATGGACCTGGGTACCCATAGACAGCATGCAGGGAACACATAAAATCCCTGATGGTGTGTGAGAGGCTGGTATGATTTGTGTCTGCATATGTGCATGGATATGTATGCATATGTAACTGCTTCTTCATTGAGGGTCTACAGTTTTTATCACTTAAAAATGTCTGTGCCTCCAAAGCTAAAAATTATTCTAAAATAAACCACTACTGATTCCCATTTACACAGGAGTTGTGTAATGAATACCGTAAGTCCTGGAAGAATGGTCAGCTCCTTTGCACCAGAGAGAATGACCCCATCCAGGGCCCAGATGGGAAAATGCACGGCAACACCTGCTCCATGTGTGAGGCTTTCTTGTGAGTACTGAAGTAGCCCCAGGGCCTCTGAGAGCATGTCAAGTTTTCAAACAATTGTGATGAATGCGTTTTCTTCTTTAGTGTAACATTGGGTTCTGAGTTTGTCACATTTAAATGGACAAAAAAAATAAATAAATAAAAAAGCAAACGGAAAGTCTTCAGATTATAACCATTGTGATATAAACAGATGAAGAATAATCCACACACACACACTAACACTTCATGATCTCACTGCTTTGTGGAAACTAAAAAAGGGTAAATTATACAAATAGCCAGTAGAGTGGTGATGACCAAAAGCCAGGATGGGGATCAGGAATGAAAAGATATATTGATCAAAGAGTATAGTTGCAGTTAGAAGAAAAAAGTTTTAGAGTACTATTGCATAGCAGCATGGTGAGTAGTTAATAACAATGTATTATATATTTCAAAATGGCTAAGAGTAGATTTTAAATGGTCTCATCACACAAATAATCTTAAGTATGTGAAGTGACTCATAGGTTAATTTATCTGATTTAATAATTCTGCCATGACAACATACATGAAAATACATTTACTCTATAAATATTTGATAATTATTTGTTAATTAAAATACTATTTTTAAAAGAGATACAAAATAATTTCTTCTATGGAATTTCAGAAGTCATCTAGAAACTTTAACCTAGAAAAAGAAATCATCCATAATAATCATGCTATTTTGCTCTTAATTTTTGAAAAAATATTATCTGAAATAATAACTAGATAATAATATATGTAAATATCATAGTGCATGGGAAATTTTATGAGACCTTTCTTATTTTTGTGGCTCACCATTTTTCTTCCCACCATTCTGTGGAAATCTTAAGAAAGAATTGAAATGGATAAGAGCTATAGAGAGAGAGATTTGGACTCATCATGAAAATTGACCTTGTAATATAGTAGGGAAAGATCAGTGATGATTTGTTACACAGGGGTTAGATACACACTTACAGGGGGCTTTAAATTAGCTTTAGAATTGATAACAAGATACAGCCTCTTAAACAAGCATCTATGATTTTGCTAAACTCCTTTGATTATTTTTGGCCAAAAGGTAATCCAATTTATTTTCTATATGCCAGGAATCTCTTTGAAAACACAGAATTGTTCAGTCTTTTCTGATGCACAACAAAATAACCCAGCATGTATCTCATCATCCTACAGAGTTTATCCATGGAGCACGAAATAGCTATTAGATGGAAAATCAAAAAGATGATCACATAATTATATAATCAGTATTTAATGAATGAACATAAGTTATGTTTTCTAAGAGCTTTGCTGTCTAACATCATTTAATCTTCACAATAACCACCTGAGATAGATTGAGATAGATCTGCACTGTCACAAATTACAGAAGGAAAGGAAAACTGCCGACTAGGACGTCAGCGTATACCTGAAAGAGAAGGAAGTCACCGTACAGATAAAGAAAATGATAACATATTTCTTCCTGTTGGGTGCAAACAGTATATTATGACTTATCAAGACTTTTATCAACTTCTTGTAGAAATATTTGTCTATATTTGGGTTCCTTTCCACCTCTTTTTCTCTACATTAATCTTTCGGTGATAAAGAAGTAATTCTGCCACCTAGTGGTCAGCTCTGTTGCCTCCTTTGATAATTTCCTGTTAGGAAAGAAAATGTTTCTTAATTTTTTTGTCACTTCACATTCATGATAAAGTTTAGTTTTTATATGAAAAAGCATGAAAAAGATAGTCAATAGTGAATGTGTTTTAGTAATTGTCTCCTAAAAATTGAAATTAAAATTTCAAAAGAAATTTTATCACCTCATATATTAGATATTAAAGGTTATTGATTTCCTTGAGACTCATTCTTCCCTCAATAGTAATTATTTTGCACACTTTCATTCAATGTAAAAGCAGTCTTTTTAAGTTTCTGTAATGAGAAATTTTTATATTGACTGGAACACAGTAAAACATTTTCACAAATTGTGTAATTTTTAATCTATACATCATGATTTAATTATTTGTGTTACATACAATTATTTTATAGATCCAGTCTAATAAACTCAATTTACAATGCCATGAGTTATCTAAAATAGTAAAATCTATCAGTCACTTCCTTTCCATCATATGCCCATTTTTGGAGGGTTTAGCTTCCAGTGGCTGACCATGATTATATCAGTCCCTTATACCACTTATACTGATCACTTTCTTATGTACCTGATACTGTACTGCTTTATGTATATCAACTTACTTAATATTCCTATTCCCCACGTCCAGCCCCAGTTGAAGTCGAGGTGGGCCCACGGGTTAAGGCACTTATTGTTCTTATAAAATCTAACCCCAGAATAATTCCATTTAACCACTGTACTGTTCTTCTTGGAAGCCAAATATCACCATGTTAAAAGAGTGATCATAGATAAAAAAGGAATTAGCAAATCATATAGTATTCATGTAGTACATATGGTGGAAAGTTAAGTAAGATTATCATTAATTAAAGAACTTTCTCTTGCATACCCCTCTCTTGGGGTGGGGTGAACCATTCTGGTTGATTATCTAATGAAATCACAAACTGCTGTGGCTGCATCTTTGGGGTTGCTTGTGAACAATCAAAAGCAATGGATGATTCGTCTCTGAATGTTAAGGATCTATTCTGTATTAAGATCCATTTCTCTCTCTCTCTCTCTCTCTCTCTCTCTCTCTTTTTTACAGTAAACAACAAGAAAGAGCAAGAGCAAAGGTTAAAAGAGAAACTGCAAAGGTAATTATTTCAGGAGTACTAATGCTATCCTCTGAAGTTTTGTTTGTCTTTATAATAGCAGTTGAGCTATCTCATTAACACTAATGTTCCATGTTCACTTTTCATGCCTGAAATGAAAAAAGCAAGTTAATAAAAAAAGATTAAAAAAAAGTTTTGATTAAGTTTTCAGAGTACCAGTTTTATTTAATGATTATTTCAATTTGAGATTCATTTCTGAAGATGTAGAATGTTAACTCTGTAATCAGTTTCCCCCATATTTGGCTTTTATTTGGTTCAATTGCTGCACTCAGAATATTAACATCAATGTTTGCAGCTCCCTAATTTCAATGTATATAATTTATAGTTCTATTGTTTCTTCTTCTTTAAAATTTATTTTTTAATTTGAAAGAGTTACACAGAGAGAGAAGGAGAGACAGAGAGTGAGGTCTTCCATCCACTGGTTCACTCCCCAGTTGGCTGCAACGGCCAGAGCTGCACCAATCCAAAGCCAGAAGCCAGGAGCTTCCTCTGGGTTCTCCATACGGATGCAGTGGCCCAAGGACTTGGCCCATCCTCTAGTGCCTTCCTAGGCCATAGCAGAGAGCTGGATTGGAAGTGGAACAACCAGGACTTGAATCGTCGCCCATATGGGATGCCGGCACTGCAGGAGGCAGCTTTACCTGCTGTGGCACAGCGCAGGCCCCTCTTTTATTTCATATATTAAGTACAAGATTGAAATCATTCTAATTTACAAATTTTAATTCATATATATAATCATGGTTGATCTTTAGCACCACCTAGCTATGAAGAAATTGCTCCTTTTCTTTCCCCTGATTAACATCATTACAAGAGTCCTTCAAAAAGTTCATGGAAAAAAGGAATTAAGAGAAGTTTATTTTGATTCAAAATATTTGGAGATCAATGGGTATGAAGGTTCTTCAAAAACTCCATGGTAATATCTATTAGATGTACTAGGAAATTTTGCATGAATTTCAGTTTTTTTCTTGCACAACTAATGAATGATACTCATCTCTGTCTCTCAGATGTGTTCTCCCTCTCTCTTTCTCTCTCTCCTTTTCAAATAATTTTTTTAAAAAGAAAAGTATGAAGTAAGCATTAAAAACACCTTAAAATTTATTTGTGTTTCTGAGAGAGAGAGGGAGAGAGAGAAACTCCCATCCATTGGTTCATTCTTCAAACACCCACAACAGCCAGGACTGACCAAGGCTGAAACTGGGATCAGAAACCTCAATCCAGGTCTCCCATGTGGGAGACAGGAACCCAGTTACTTGGGTTCACCCCTGACTCCCAGGACTGAATTAGCAGGAAACTGGAGTCAGAAATTAGAGCTGGGAATTGAACCCAAGCACTCTGATGTGGCCTGGGACGTGAATATATTGTAAATTCTAGGCTCAATGCCTGTTCCCTATTTCTATTTCTTAGTGTAAGCTTGTTTTTTTTTTTTTTTTCTTTTTCTCAACATCCTAAAGACAAACCACGACTCAGCAATATTCTCAGTTTCCCCAGGAAGGCCTATTCAGTCTCCTCACCTTTAATGTTTCACAGCTTTTATACACTGCAATGTGCAATACAACAAAAGCTTACATATGTTTTTATAAGGATATTTAACAATATTTTTAGCCCTGTTTTGTATCTTGATTATAAACAGCCTCAGAAATAGGATGGGGGCCATCAGTATGGTGCAGTAGGTTAATCATCCACCTGCAGTGCCGGCATCCCATATGGGCGTTGGTTCTAGTCCCGGCTGCTTTACTTCTGATCCAGCTCTCTGCTATGGCCTGGGAAAGCAGTGGAAGATGGCTCAAGTGCTTGGGCCCCTGCACCCATATGGGGGCCCTGGAGGAAGTTCCTGGCTCCTGGCTCCTGGCTTCAGATCAGCTCAGCTCCAGCCATTGCAGCCATTTGGGGAGTAAACTAGAGGATGGAAGACCTTTCTTTGTCTCTCCCTCTCTCTGTCTGTAACTCTACCTTTCAAATAAATAAATAAATCTTTTTTTAAAGGAATACAATAGTAAATATTTACAGATCTGCTCTCAAGACAATTTGGAGTTCATAATGAAAGCTTTATAAATACGAATTTACTGCTACATCTTACCATTTTCCTTTTTACTCTGCATTATTTATATCTCATAATAGGAAGGGTAGACAACTGCTTTAGGAAAATATTTTCTTCATTTTCCAGGAAATGTGCAGTGAATTTCGGGACCAAGTGTGGGGTGGAATGCTCATATGCACCAGGGAGAATGATCCTGTCCGTGGCCCAGATGGCAAAATGTATGGAAACATGTGTACCATGTGTGCCAGTGTGTTGTGAGTATCCCTCCCACTGAATTTCTTCATCCTAAGTCTCAGATTCTTCATACACATGTATTATCGACTATGTCATGGATTGTATGCTAGGTAGTTTTAAAAACAGATAAAGAAGACATTAAGTTACATTGAATTACATAGTGTCAGTGTGATTTTCTACTTGGTTATCATTTTATCTTCTGGTTAATTCAAGGAGAAAGTCAAACAGCACTCAGTTTAGTGCTATTGTTTTGTAACACTTAATAACCTTCATTTATAACAGAGAATAGAAGTTTCGTGATTTGAATTAGATCTTGTTGAGCTCTTTCCTGTTTTTGATTTTGTGAATATATTCAGTTGGGAAGAAAGCCAACTGGAAGGAGATGTGTGGGGTAGTATATAATGACTATTAAAGTAACTTGAGCAGGGTTAGCCTTGTGGCACAGTAGATTAAGCTGTCACTTGCCTCACTGGCATCCCCTATGAGAGCACCAGTTTAGCTCCTGGCTGCTCCACGTCTGATCCAGTTCCCTGCTAGTGCACTTGGGAAGAGAGCGGAAGATGTCCCAAGTACTTGGGTCTCTGTCATGCATATGGGAGACCTGGAGGAAGTTCCTGGATCCTGCTTTGGGACTGGTCACAACATGGCTATTGCAACCATTTGGGAAGTAAACCTGTGTATGGAAAATCTCTCCCCTAACCCCATGCTCTATCTTTCAAGTGAATCTTGGGGCCAGCACTATGGCTCAGTGGGTTAACTCCCTGGCCTGAAGCACTGGCATCGCATGTGGGCGCCTGTTTGAGACCCGGCTGCTCCACTTCCTGTCCAGCTCTCTGTTGTGGCCCAGGAGAGCAGTGGAGGATGGCCCAAGTCCTTGGGCCCCCACACCCACATGGGAGACCTGGAGGAGGTTTCTGGCTCCTGGCTTCGGATCGGCACAGCTCCGGCTGTTACGGCCATCTGGGGAGTGAACCATCAGATGGAAGACACCTCTCTCTCTCTCTCTCTCTCTCTCTCTCTGCCTCTCCTCTCTCTGTGTAACTCTGACTTTCAAATAAACAAATAAATAAATCTTTTAAAAAAAAGAAATCTTAAAAAAATAACTTGGAATAGAGAAATAGAAGTGGTATAGAGAGGATTATATTTATTCTTTCAGGTATATTACTACAGAAAGTAGGAGACATACATACTTTGATAAGTGGTTTAGTGTAAGGTAAAACCTTACGAGGCAGACTCCACTGTAATAGATTTATTAAGTATACTAAGTCATATAGTTGTTAAGCCAGATCAGGGCCTTCTAGGCCTTTAATTTGAAATGTACTTGGTTAAATTGTAGACAGAACTCAGTCATGTGGGACAGTATAAAAATTGATTTTTCACTTCCTCCAATTCTTAGTTTCCTAATCCTATCTTGAGCTTCACCTTAAAATAAGTGTTAAGAAAAATATTTACATAATGTCTGTATAAAGAATTGAAATTATTAATTATCTCAGGTCTTAGTCCAACCTTAAGTATATACACATAGTTCCTTAAAAGGAGAGATTGACAGAGCAGGAGAGCAGAATCAACAGTGGCCTGAGATCCAAGAAATCATATTTCTCCCTCACCTTTTCTGTGCTAGATACAGGAAGTGCTGAGGATTTTCTAGCACTGATACGCTACAAATCAGTAGAAAATGGCAACCATACAAGGATATTAGGCTTGGCATTAACCTAAAGAAATTCGCTGTTTTATCTTACTGGACTTGAATCACTATTGCATCCAAAACTCAAATTTCAACTTGAACTTTATCTCCATTAAAATAGCATTAAACATTTTTATTTTATGGTGACATGTTGTTTGCATGAGGCTGGGCCTGTTGTCTGATTTGTCATCATCTCTTGCTTTCATCATTGATATGGTAGTTCTTTGGATAGGAAAAAAGTTTCACAATTAAAGGAAATCAAGATAATTGTGGTTTCTTTTAGTTAATTTATTGAAGTAACTGACTTAGGAAAATAAGATCATCCAAGGGCTTTGCACTGATAAAAATGCATGCTTATTTTAATATTTTTTTAGAGGGGAGAATGTAAACTACTGAATTGATCTCCGTTACTGGCCAAAGCAATAGCCCCTCTTGGGCTGGATGAATTTATACTGGACACTGAATCTGACCTCTTCTGTAGAATATCTGCATTCCTTTTAAAAAATGTATTTGGAGGCTGGCGCCACGGCTCACTAGGCTAATCCTCTGCCTTACAGCGCCGGCACACCGGGTTCTAGTCCCGGTCGGGGCACCGGATTCTGTCCTGGTTGCCCCTCTTCCAGGCCAGCTCTCTGCTGTGGCCAGGGAAGTGCAGTGGAGGATGGCCCAAGTGCTTGGGCCCTGCACCCCATGGGAGACCAGGGTAAGTACCTGGCTCCTGCCTTCAGATCAGCGTGGTGCGCTGGCCGCAGCGCACTGGCCGTGGCGGCCATTGGAGGGTGAACCAACGGCAAAGGAAGACCTTTCTGTCTGTCTCTCTCTCTCACTGTCCACTCTGCCTGTCAAAAAAAAAAAAAAAAAAAAAGAAAGAAAGAAAAGAAAAAGAAAAAGAAAAAAATGTATTTTGAAAAAACATGGGGAATTTCTATTTAGCTTCTATCTTACGTTTCTGTTGCAGCAAACTGGAAGAAGAAGAGAAGAAAAATAGTAACAAAGAAGAAAAGGAAAAAGTCAACATTGATAAAGTTAAGAGAGCAGCTGTGCAGGTAATTGTCTCAGATCACCAGAACCACATAAATAGTCAGCGAGCATTCTCCCTACGTAATACTCCTGCTTCCTTCTAATCCAAGTCATCTTAGTGACTTTGCACACAGAGAAAGTGTATTGAGTTGTCTTGTGTAGAGAACACCATTGCCTTATTCACTTCATGCAATTCTAGAGAGAAGAATTCTTCAGAGAATAGAAAAATCCCCCTTTCCCTATTGGCCACATGAATTATATTACTCAGGACGGAGATGTATACAGATCGTCATCTTGCTGTCTAAATACAAATTGGTAGACGCTCATGTTCAGCTTCTCTCAAATTCCTTTTTGAATAATGGTGTCTTAACTTTAAAAAAAATCTAGGGTTTTGTCCCAATTAATTCTCTGTGATGTTAGGGAAAATACTTAAGTATATCTCTGAGCCTTGGGTTTGCTTTCTGTAAAATCACGTGTGGTGATGATAATGGTGATGACTGTGATGGTGACGATTGTTAATTTTTTAGCTGTAGCTACATTCCTCATGATATAAACATTTTCTGGCTTATCTTTACAGTAGCTATCCAAGGTACATATCATTATCTGTATTTTATTGAAGTGGACTTGGAGCTCAGAAAAGAAGTTACAAAATATATATAATTAGTAATATATAATTATATAGTATGGGATATAGATTAATATAAGTATTATAGTATAATATTATAAGTATTATATATTATTTACTACAGATAATTATAATTATATATCATTAGTTACTTAAGAGCTAATTATTAACTACAACTTCTGGCTTTAAGATCCATGATGCACATTAAATTGTATACCCTTCTGCCTTTTTGTAATATTCTTGCAGGCTGTGTCTTAGGCCTTCATTACTCCTTTCCTTTATCCTTTGCCAGTTTGGATGATGTCATTTCCAACTGCTCTTTCTGCCTTTACCTTTGCTGCCTACAATGTACTCTCAAGTCAAAAGAATTATTTTAAAATAAAATGCAAGTCATGTCACCCAGTGGCTTCCCATCTCTCTCAGTTAGAACCTAAGTCCTTCTGTTGGCTTGCAGTATCATACATGGGCTGGCCTCTGTCATTTTCTTTATTCTACACATTGTTCTCCTTATAATAGTTATACTGACTGCCACCTTGTTGCTTCTTGGGTATGCCAAGAATTGATCCTATGACTTTACATCTTGTGGACTCAATAACATTGTGGTTAAAAATTGGACTGTTAACTCAAACCATCAAGGTTCAACCCTTGCTCCATTGCCCTACCAGTAGGGTCTGGTAGTAAACATCTTTGTGTCTTAATTTCTTCTGTTATAAAATAATATTATAACTATATGTATTATTTTTATCAAGTCTCAAGAAATTTACCTATGGGTAATAGCAAAGTGCTTCACATATCTTGAATATTCAATATGTAGTATTATATTTGTTATTGCTAATATTGTTTATCTAATCTAATAATTTAATATATTTATCATATCTAATAATTAACTTCATCTAGTGGGATGCACCACATTGACTAGTTCACCAGTTCTCCCACATGCAATGACATTTACCTTCTCTGTGACTTTAGGCATAGTCAGGGTGTCCCTTTCTTCTATATACCACAAATCTGGCCACTTTTCATGGTTCAGAATCAGTGTTCGTTGATCCCTAAAGAATTTCCTCCTTTGTACACTATACTTTACAACTACATCATTTATTATGCCAGCAATTTTATTTTTAAATTCACCTATTTTTTTTTTAAATAAAGAAATGGTAGTCTCCACATCACAGTTCCTTAACTTAATTACATCTGCAAAACCGATTTTGCCATATAAAATAACATATTCACAAGTCCCAAGTATTAGGACTTGAGAATATTTGGGGATGGCGTGGTATTATTCTGCCTAGCACAAATTCCTTTTCCAATTTAAGGCACATAAATTATTCTGTTTCTTTCACAGTGCCTCCATCAGAATATTATTGAAAGGTTTTCCAGTGAATTGTGCAACAGCAACCTTATGTTGCAAATAATGTGTGAGACCTAGGTCTCTAAAGCATCCTGGCAAGTTCCAATCACCTGCACCACCTTTTCTAAGCAATTATTATAATTAGGGCCATTATGTCATCTTTGCCAAAGGGGCAGTGTTAAAGGTTCCCAGTGTTCAGTTACCCGATTCTCATATCCTCCGTCATTTGGCAGGAGCTGTGCAGTGAATACCGCAACTATATGAGAAATGGACGGCTGCCCTGCACCAGAGAGAATGACCCTATTGAGGGCCTGGATGGGAAAATCCACGGCAATCCCTGCTCCATGTGTGAGGCCTTCTTGTAAGTAGAGCTGCAGCCACTGCTGCTGCTGGCGGTAGGAAATGAGCCTCAAGGAGGCAATCAGGAGAACCTTTAAGATTTTATTCATGATACAGATGATGAAGGCTGTCTTTGCATTAACTTCAGGGATTTAGTGTTATAAAGCCATATACTTGGTACCGTTTTTAATAGTGCTTCAGTGTTTTGAAATATACTTGAATCACCATGAAAGGAAGTCCGTGTGCTAAGGGTAAATTATCCCAGAGTTAATGACATGGATGGATTAGGACATCTGTTCTCTGCATACATAGATCACTGTCATGAATAACCCAAAGATATAGTCATTGGATATGAATGAATAAACTTAACCTTTGTTACCATCTAACAAATATTTTCATTGCTTTCTGGGGAGAAGACACCATCTTTATTTTCCAAAAAAAATTAGTGAAAATTTTATTTACTGGTTTATTGTTGCATGCATATCTTATTTAAAAAATTAGAAATAAAAATGATATGGTAGGATATGCATTTACCTGTCTTCCCCCAAGCTAATTGGCACAGGCATAGAAGTTATGGGCCATTTCTATCTAAAGAGATTTATCCTTTCAAATAATATGTATTGATTGCTAGAAATGAATCTTCCCTATCTGCTATTTCCTGTATAGCCAGCAAGAAGCCAAAGAAAAAGAAGCCAAAGCCAGAGCAAAAGCTAAAAGAGAAGTCAGCAAGGTAGGTGTCCATGGGTGTTCATCTCACAGTGAAATGATGAGCTTTGCAGCATCACCATGGAAATAACTTGGGAATTACTGAAGGGCCTAGCTTGAGGGGGCTCAGGGTTCATTTTGCCCAGTGGTTGAGAAGCTTTTTTCGTAAAGAGCCAGGTAGAAGATAATTCAGGTTTTATGGCCATATAGTTCCTGTCACCACTACTCAGATATTTTACTGAGGCTCTGTTACAACAGTTGGTGGTACAGGACCTCCAAAGTATTCATGGGAAATTTGCATTGCAGAAAATCATATATGGATTTCAAATTTTTTGCACCAAAATAAATGTATCTTTTAATTCCATTTTTCCATGAACATCTTTAAGTACCCTTCTACACAAATCATGGCCAGGACTGTGTTCTCATACTGTTTTATTTACCAGAACTGGTCATTGGCAAAATTTTGTTCATATGCCACAGTTTTCATACACTTGATTTATTCCATTCCCATATTTTAAAGTGAAAATTTAAGATGTCAAGAGGAGGTAGGTATTTGGCAAAGTGGTTAAGATGTAGCTTGGAATGCTCACATACCATATTGGAGAGTCTGAATTGAGTCCTGGCTCTGCTTCCAGCTCTAGCTTCCTGCTAATGCACATGCTGAGAGGCAGTAGGTAACGGCTTAAGTACCCTGGTTTCTGCCACTCATATGGAAGTCCAGGATTGAGTTTATAGCCCTTGCTTTTTGCCTGGCCTACATCTGGTCTTTTCAGTGTTTAGAGAATAAATCTGGATTGAAGATCTCTCTCTCTGTCTGCCTCTCAAAACCATAAAAAATAACTAATAATTAAAAAAATAAATTACACAGAGAAGGAAGAACTTACTTAAAATTAATAGGGATATTAGTATTAGTACCATATATTCATATTATAAAGTTCATACAGTATAAATAATAAGATTTATACCTAGATTTTCTGACACCAAATCCAGCATTCTTGGTTTTTTCTTAACTTTTATTTAATGAATATAAACTTCCAAAGTACAGCTTATGGATTACAATGGCTTCCCCCCCATAACGTCCCTCCCACCCGCAACCCTCTCCTTACCCACTCCCTCTCCCCTTTCATTCACATCAAATTTCATTTTTGATTCTCTTTATATACAGAAGATCAGTTTAGCATACATTAAGTAAAGATCTCAACAGTTTGCTCCCACACAGAAACATAAAGTGAAAAATACTGTTTGAGTACTAGTTATAGCATTAAATCTCAATGTACAGCACACTAAGGACAGAGATCCTACATGAGGAGTAAGTGCACAGTGACTCCTGTTGTTGACTTAACAAATTGACACTCTTGTTTATGGCATCAGTAATCACCCTAGGCTCTTGTCATGAGCTGCCAAGGCTATGGAAGCCCCCTGAGTTCACCGACTCTGATCATATTTAGACAAGGCCGTGGTCAAAGTGGAAGTTCTCCCCTCCCTTCAGAGAAAGGTACCTCCTTCTTCATTCTTTCCACTGGGATCTCACTCGTGGAGATCTTTCATTTAGGTTTTTTTTTTTTTTTCCCCCAGAGTGTCTTGGTTTTCCATGCCTGAAATACTCTCATGGGCTTTTGAGCCGGATCCACATGCCTTAAGGGCTAATTCTGAGGCCAGAGTGCTATTTAGGACATCTGCCATTCTATGATTCTGCTGTGTATCTCGCTTCCCATGTTGGATCGTTCTCTCCCTTTTTTATTACATTGGTTATATTTGCAGACACTAGTCTTGTTTATGTGATCCCTTTGACTCTTAGTCCTATCATTATGATCAATTGTGAACAGAAATTGATCACTGGGACTAGTGAGATGGCATTGGTCCATGCCACTTTGATGGGCAAATCCAGCATTCTTTTAACATACTATGTGTATTTGTTTATCCTAAGTGGTCAAACTAGTTGTAGGTTCCTTGTTTTTATATTTGATTATTTTCAGGTGTCAGACTAGGGGAGAAAAACTAAAAATAAAAATTAGTGTTCTCAAATGATATTTTCTTGAGTTCAGAAAGACCTATTCTAGGTAGATTGTTATTGGTATAGTTATTTTCCTGCCCCAATCAAAGACTAATGATGATCTCTAAAGAAATATTTCACTTGAAATCTCATCTGATTAGCTTATTTATAATCATGTTGTACAGAATTACAAATATGAATTAAAAATAATACCAGTCGCTGGCGCCACGGCTCACTAGGCTAATCCTCCGCCTTGCGGCGCCAGCACACCGGGTTCTAGTCCCGGTTGGGCGCCAGATTCTGTCCCGGTTGGGGCGCCAGATTCTGTCCCGGTTGCCCCTCTTCCAGGCCAGCTCCCTGCTGTGGTCCAGGAATGCAGTGGAGGATGGCCCAAATACTTGGGTCCTGCACCCCATGGGAGACCAGGGTAAGTACCTGGCTCCTGCCTTCAGATCAGCGTGGTGCGCCGGCCGCAGCGCGCCGGCCACAGCGGCCATTGGAGGGTGAACCAACAGCAAAGGAAGACCTTTCTCTCTGTCTCTCTCTTTCTCACTGTCCACTCTGCCTGTCAAAATTATAATAATAATAATAATAATAATAATAATACCAGTGGTTTATATGGAAAACATACAGGAAAATCTACAGGAATACATCCTTTGGTATGAGACTATTTCCAATTTCATATTAGCTGCTACAGATAAACTCTTCTTTTATATAATTTTTGGAATTTGGCAAATTAGTGAATCTGACAGTGAATCTTGATATATAGACAGAAGACAAAATTCGTTTTGTCATCCTCACTAAATTTTAACTTGAACAAAAGGATTGATGAAAAAACACAAAAGCAATTCTAATTTCCACCAGTAATTAAATCCATGATCTTCAGTGATTTGATTGTTCTCTCTCAATTCTTCAGTTAATTCCAGAGGTAACTGTAACACATTTGTGTATATTACCATATTCTCATGTTATTCTCAAAACAATCAGGGACATATGTTGAATACTTAATGCCTGTTGCTATTACTATTCAAAATATGTTGCATACATACTATTATTTCCTTATTTCCTTTTATTGCTAAGGTAACTGAAATACAGAAAGGCAATATTCCTCACTTGGTGGCAGAATTAGAATTCTTTTTTTTCACTTTTATTTAATAAATATAAATTTCCAAAGTACAGCTTATGGATTACGATGCCTTTCCCCCCATAACTTCCCTCCCACCCGCAACCCTCCCATCTCCCGCTCCCTCTCCCATTCCATTCACATCAAGATTCATTTTCAATTCTCTTTGTATACAGAAGATCAATTTAGTATATATTAAGTAATGATTTCAACAGTTTGCACCCACACAGAAACATAAAGTGAAAATACTGTTTGAGTACTAGTTACAGCATTAATTCACTTTGAACAACACATTAAGGACAGAGATCCTACATGAGGAGTAAGTGCACAGTGATTCTTGTTGTTGACTTAACAAATTGACACTCTTGTTTATGGCGTCAGTAATCTCCCTAGGCTCTTGTCATGAGTTGCCAAGGCTATGGAGGCCTTTTGAGTTCACTGACTCTGATCATATTTAGACAAGGTCATAGTCAAAGTGGAAGTTCTCCCCTCCCTTCAGAGAAAGGTACCTCCTTTTTTGATGACCCATTCTTTCTACTGGGATCTCACTCGCAGAGATCTTTCATAGTGCTGTTTAGGACATCTGCCATTCTGAGTCTCCTGTGTATCCCACTTCCCATGTTGGATTATTCTCTCTCTTTTTTTTTATTCTATCGGTTAGTATTTTCAGACTAGTCTTGTTTATGTGATCCCTTTGACTCTTAGACCTATCATTATGATCAATTGTGAACTGAAATTGATCACTTGGACTAGTGAGATGGCATTGGTACATGCCACCTTGATGGGATTGAATTGGAATCCCCAGGCACATTTCTAACTCTACCATTTGGGGCAAGTCAGCTTGAGCTTGTTCCAAATTGTATATCTTCTCCCTCTCTTATTCCCACTCTTATATTTAACAGAGATCACTTTTCAGTTAAATAAACACCTAAGAATAATTGTTTGTTAATTACAGAGTTCAACCAATAGTATTAAGTAGAACAAAAGAACATACTAAAAGGGATAAAGTATTAAGTTGTACATCAACAATCAGGACAAGGGCTGATCAAGTCATTGTTTCTCATAGTGTCCATTTCACTTCAACAGGTTTCCTTTTTGGTGCTTGGTTAGTTGTCACCGATCAGGGAGAACGTATTATATTTGTCCCTTTGGGACTGGCTTATTTCACTCAGCATAATGTTTTCCAGATTCCTCCATTTTGTTGCAAATGACCGGATTTCATTGTTTTTTTTTTTTTACTGCTGTATAGTATTCTATAGAGTACATGTCCCATAACTTCTTTATCCAGTCTACTGTTGATGGGCATTTAGGTTGATTCCAGGTCTTAGCTATTGTGAATTGAGCTGCAATAAGCATTAAGGTGTAGACAGCTTCTTTGTTTGCCAATTTAATTTCCTTTGGGTAAAGGTAACTGAAATACAGAAAGGCAATATTCCTCACTTGGTGGCAGAATTAGAATTCTAACAGTATGCTGTGCTTGCAAACATGCTACTGCTAGTCAGACCATACCTGGGCCATTATGCTGAATTCTTTAGAAAAGGAAGAATCTGCAATGAGAAGTAGTATTGAAGTCATGTTATAAACAAAATAACTGAAGTGGTAGCAGTGGTTGGCTTTTGTGACAGAATATATAGAAATATGAGAGAAAGATAAGAAAACTTTCTCCAAATATCAGAATGAATCTCATATGAAAGAAGAAAAAACTTCTAAGAGAAGTAAAACACCTCCCTTTGTTTGTTAGTGAAAGAATATATTTTCCTGTTCCCATTTTCAGTGACAACTTAGAAAAATAAATGTCTGGAGGATAGATCCTATAGGATTTAGGAGAGTTCTTTTCCAAGATTCCTCGAAAGTGGCATCATGGCTAATTTATGGGAACTGCCTAGTAGAAACTTTTGTCGGGAAGGTAATGTAGTTGTGGTCACTGTAGATATTCCAATAGAGATTGAATGATTTCTTGGCAGGTATGATATGAAGGGGATTAAGGGATAGAATGAATAGTTGGCACAGATAGACTTTGATGTTATAAAAAAAACCTGAAGTTGTTTGAATCTATATAATATGAAGTGTTTTTATTGCATTATAATATAATAAGCAATAAAACTCTAAGCTAGAACTGTGATCGGTCCTCAGAAGACCTAGTTTATTAACACACTTTGGTGTGTAGGTTCAGTCTTGATTTGGAGACAAACTATCAAGAAAAAAAAATCCTTTTTATTTCCTATGTTCTTAGTAGGTATTGAACAGGACAATTGCCCAAAATTAACCTTCAGGTCATTTTTTAAATCAGGAACATTTGATTGAAATATAAAAATAACAACTTCCAAAAAAATACCCAAGCTCTTATCACTTTTCCTCCTTTTAGGATGCATGCAATGAATTTCGAAGCCTTTTGCAAAATGGGAAACTTTTCTGCACACGAGAAAATGATCCTGTGCGTGGCCCGGATGGCAAGACCCATGGCAACAAGTGTGCCATGTGTAAGGCAGTCTTGTGAGTGCCCAAACAGCTCCTGCTGCGGGTTGGCAGAGATGGGAGGCAAATAGATGGGAGATGATATGTACCACGTTGGTTTTTTCCTTGTGTATATAAGAAACAAATGATTATCTGTATAGCATTTTGAAGTGAATGTTTCCTTACAAACGTTAGGACTCAACAGTTTTAGAAATAGACAATGTATTACTAGGTTATTACACTCTGTCTTAGCCTAGGAGTAGAGTTTACCAGTAAGTCACAGCATCTTTCTTGATAATATTTTACGACATTTGCTGTCAAGTGGATTCCTTCTCTGGATTGTTTTGAAATTCTCATTGGGAAGAAAGCATGTACTTTCACTGTCTATATAACTCTTCTACTGACATTTTGGAAAATATCACTTTTTTAGAAATGAAAAGTAGCATATAACACAGTTTGGGACTACACCTAAAATATTTAAGTCACTCAGCAGTGATTTGCTGAATATCTACAATATATAATAATTATACAGAGAGGAGTATTATATACTGTTCTCAGAAACTGTATAGTCTGCCAGTGTTAGCTATGGACATAAGCTAATAAAACACAAAGGAGAAAATGTTAAATGAAAAATAATGCTGTAATATATTATTGATACTTTAGGAAAGAGAGAGCTAATAGAAAGTTTTATATGGGGAATAAAACTGGACCTTGTAATTTGGATCAGATACAGGCATGAAAGGAAGCAATGAGAGAAGAAAAAGGCAGCATAGGTGAATACATTAATTAAGAGACTATATTATGTACAGTAAAGAGAAAGCCATTGAGGTTGGTTAGAACTTTACCAGCTTTGAATGCCAGACCACACATTTCTGTGTGTTGTAGGAAGCTGCTAAAGTTTTTCAGCTAGGAGCGTAAGTGTCACAAAGAGGTCCTTTTAGGAATATCTGTGTATTAGCAGTGAAAAAGGAGCAAAAATAAGAAAAAGACTAAAACTCAGGATGATGTGTGTCCGTAGGGCAGGGGTAGGCAGTTGTTTTGCATTAATCTAGTGAGAGGTAACTAGAGCAAGGGGAGTAGGATAGAAAGTCAGTAGATGAATGTAGGAGACATTGTGATGGGGAAATCAATGATATGTGGCAGAGCTATGCTAGCTGAAGGGGAGGGGGTGACTAGAGGTGCTTCCAACGATTTATTCTTTGAGAAGGCAGAAATCTAGGAGGAAGAACACATTTGGTAGAGAAAATAGTTATTTTGGGAGCTCTTGGATGTGAAGTATGCTCCTATGAGTAATTATAGCCAGGAATCCCTAGTGAGCATTTATAAAATGCTAATGAATTGCTTACTTTGGCTTGTTTATTAGTTATGTATATGTTGGTTATCTGAGAGCATTTCCAGACAAAGGACTCCACATAACTTTCTTTTAATTTTCAGAGAAGAGGACCTGCAATACATAGACGTTAAGTAGATGCTAGTGAAATTTGCACACATTTAATACGGTTATATGATAAGAAACTCCCAGATGTGCACTCCGCTCTCTTTAAGTTATTATTCCCTATCTCTCACTTTCTCATTTCCAGCCAGAAAGAAGATGAAGAAAGAAAGAAGAAAGAAGAGGACAGTCAGAGAAATTCTGCAGGACATGATTCCAGTGGTGGTGGAGGCGGGAAAGATGAGGTGAGAACCCCTGGTTTCCATAGCCTACGGGAAGGGTGAATGCGGTTTATGCTGTCGGAAAGCATCCCTATAAGAACAGAAGAGCTTTCCTTAAGCGTATACAGGGTAAAATCCAAGCAGTTGTTAGCTTCTCCAAAGCACATTCTGATTTCGTTACACCTGGATAATTAGCAATATGAAGCCTTATCCCAGCCTCCTGACCCCTGTTTTAGTACTCTAGCTCTCAGGTTGGTAATCATTCTCATCATCATCATATAGTCTTCATTTTCTTTCATTATTCTTTATTGTGTTGCATGAAGCCACTCTTTTGAGGTTTCTTTTCCACTGATCTAAAACAGCACAGTATGGTGAGAGAGCAGAGACTTTGTAGTCAGATAATTTGGAAAATAGCCCTGCTAAAGTAGTAGTACTTGAATTGTGAAGCATAGAGTAGATTACATCTCATAGAACTCCAGTTTATGTTAATTAGCAATGAGCAGTGCTCTTAGAGGGATAAAGTGAGAAAAAAAAACACAAATATTTTTAGTGCATTTCCTCAGACGTTTTAAAGTGTTATCTTTGCAATATTGCAGGTAAGATCACTGCTTAGGCTTTGAACACAGTATCACAAGATTCTAGCCATCTATTGATCATCTTGCAGCCTTGGATTTTCAAGACCATATGGGTTGCCAGATACGACACAAGCCTAATATTTACCTTTGATAAATTCTAATGTTTTTTGTTTTTTCTATCTTTTCTTTGGTTCTGCGTAAAGAATGAACCTGTTAAGACTTGTTGTCTGTCTTTTCATCATTTTGTCAAGCCTATCTTCCCTGGCATTTTGCATGACTTTGTGCTTTTCCCCAGCACTCTCCTCTTCCCTCCATATGCACACCAGACGCAGCGCATTCCTTTTTTCTATAAAAGGCCAGATAGTAAATACTTGAGGTACTGTGGATCACATAGTATCTCTTACAACTCTTCAGGTCTGCCATTGTTGTGGGAAAGAAGCTATAAATTACATCTAAATAAATGAATGAAGATGTACTTTGGTAAAACCTTCATAAAAGAACAGACATCAAGAGGGATTTGGCATGTGGGCTGTGGTTTAATCTATGCTGTTAAATACCAGCTTTATGATTTCCCTGTGCAGAGTCTTAACAGCAACATTAGAAGCTATGACAACTGACTCCTTACAAATATAATATAGATAATTCTATCCCCTCTTGGTCTGCAGGTAGCAATCCTTGATACTAAAATTCTTTTTTTAAAAAAGATTTTGTATTTATTTATTTGAGAGGTAGAGCCACAGACAATGAGAGGGGGAGATGGAGAGAGAGGTCCTCCCTCTGTTGGTTCACTCCCCAGATGGCCGCAACAGCCAGAGCTGTGCTGATCTGAAGCCAGGAGCCAGGTGCTTCTTCCTGGTCTCCCATGCGGGTACAGGTACCCAAGGACTTGGGCCATCTTCCACTGCTTTCCCAGGCCATAGCAGAGAGCTGGATTGGAACAGGAGCAGCCAGGAGTAGAATTGGTGCCCATATGGGATGCCAGCACCACAGGTGGAGGATTAACCTACTACGCCACAGCGCCGGCCCCAATACTAAAATTCTTATAAAGGGAGATAACCAAGATCTTTTCTTAGTCAGATTTTTTTTAACAAATTTAATAACAATACAATAGTCAGTATAATATGGGGGACCTATTTTTTTCTCCCTTTTCAGGATCCTTGTGCTGAGTATCGGGAAAACATGAAAAATGGAAAACTCAGTTGTACTCGAGAGAGTGATCCTGTGCGTGATGCTGATGGCAAATCATACAACAATAAGTGTACCATGTGCAAAGAAAAACTGTGAGTCCTTCTGTCAACATGCATGCGTAAAATGCAGTCACGTATTGTTCCTGAATTAGTGGCTATTTTTCATTTACTATGTCTCCCTCCATGAAAATTATTTGTTGGTTACTTCCTAAATATCTCTTCTTATTGCATCCCCTATGGAACAATGAACCACCCAGCAAAGGTAGCACATCAAGTGGCTGATTCCTGCTCTATTTTCTATCATAATCCTATGACATCTAAGTTCTGTTGTAATAGGTAATTGTTTTTAGAACATATCCTGTCCACATCCTAGACGAGTTTGTGTTGGCAGTTTTTGAATGGTTGACTGGCACAGTTTGAGGGCTGGTTTATGAGAACTGGATTGGAGAGCTTTATGACCCAGATCTCAGCTGAGATTCTCAATTTGTGTTGTTGGAGCAAGTGTAACGTAAGTGTTGTTAGTCCTATGTGTAAATTCAGGTCATTCTAGGTCACCTCAAAGAGTATGTTTAGTTCTGAAACCTATCATAATGGTCTTTAGTATTTAGTATTGCTTTTTAGTATTTAGATATATACTTAATAAACTTGTAATATTTCTTCTCAAAACATTCTTCACCTTTCTCCCCCCAGAACAAAAACCAAACAAACAAAAAGCACAATTTGAGGGCAATAGAGCTCAAGAAAAAAAATTTAATCCAAATGCTACATTTTACCTAATGTGAAAAACTGAAGCTGCGTTATTCATGTTGAGTAAGCCTCAGGCTAAAACTGGAATCCAGTTCTTCTGAATACCTACAGGAGATGCAGAGATTTCCTGTGAAAGAGAAGGTTCAGGATACATAAGCCCTCAGGCCCCTTCCAATGCTGAGTATGTGTGAAGACAATAACCAGTGATTTTTTTTTCCTCATCTAGGCAAAGGGAAGCAGAGGAAAAAAATAAGGATTCTAACTTCAGATCAAATGGGACCGGGTCAGGATCAGGAAAGGTGAGCCATTAAGTGGGTTTTGACAAAAAAGGTCTTTCTGAAGGGGAACTCATGGCCTTCAAAATTATGGAAATGCAGTGTCAATATGGTCAACCAGGATCTTGCCTTTAGCAGGCCAAAGGCCATCATTAAGGTGAATATCTCTGATAAAATTCAATGTACAAATCTAATGCCAGATGCTAGTTTAACACTTTACAAAGCACTGTTATAAATAGTGATTTATTTAATTTTCTCAGAGCCTGGTCAATAAAGTTCCTCAAGTATATTAATTTGTCATTGTTACTATAACAAACTAATGCAAGCAATGGCTTACAACAACACAAAGTTATTATCTTAGATTTTGGAAGTTCAGAACTTCTAAGCAGTCTCACTCAAAGCAGGGTGTCAGATTGTGTGCCTCTTTGGAGGACCCAGGGAAGGATATGTTTATTTGCCTTTTCCAGCTAAAAGAGGCCACCAATATCCTTAGTTTGTGGCCATTTTTAAAGCTAACAATAGTCAGTCAAGTTTCTCTTATGCTGTGCCATTCCAGCATGGACTCCTTCATGGATAAGAACCTTTGGACTTACTCCAGTAATACAGGATAACTTCCCCATTTCACATTCATCTGACTAGCAACCTTAGTTCCATATTCACCCATGTTTCCTGCTTGCCATGTAAAGCAACATATTACAGGTTCCAGGAAACAGGAGGTGGATACCTTTGTGAATCATGATTCTGCCTACCACAGACATCAATGCTAGTGGCTGCCTGACTCTTAGATAAAAGTCTTCATATCCTCACGTCCAGTCAATTGCAATGTGAACATAGCATTTCTAATGTAGTCCACTGTCCTTTTCAGGATGTATGTGATGAGTACAGAGGCCAAATGAAAAATGGACAACTTCTCTGCACGCGAGAAAGTGATCCCGTGCGGGGTCCAGATGGCAAGACACATGGCAATAAATGTGCTATGTGTAAGGAAAGGCTGTGAGTATTCTGTAAAAATGGGTTTATATGACAGTGAGTCTTAAAAATATTATTTCTTAAAAATATTATTTCTCATCTGTTTGAGGGAATGACAGTTGTTTTAAATGAGGATCTAGCCATTAATGAGATATTCACTTTGGCTGAAACATTTCTTTCCATCCTTTCTTCTAGGGAAAGGGAAGCAGCTGAAAAAAAAAAGAAAGAGGATGATGACAAGAGAAATGCAGGAGAAAAGAACAATGACAAGCATGTAATATATGTTAGACATACTACTACCTAACTGTGGCTGGTTCGTTGTACAGTTAACTCATTAAACAAGTATTTATGGAATGCTGACTCTGCCCCAATCATTGGGTATCTAATGGTAAACAGGAAAGACATGGTCAGACCTTTCGAAGAAATGCCATGCTATTCAGTGCTCTAAGTGCTACTCAGATACAGTTACTACACACTTAAGAACACTAGTGACAGTTGTCTGATTATTGTGACAATCCAGGGAATTTCATTTGTGAAGTTTTAAAACAAATAAATAATCAGACAAACAGATGCCAAAACAAAAACCAAGTATCAAAAATCTGGGGTTCCAGATGATAAATTCTTGAGTTGGCATTTCAGTGCCACCTTGTGTTCAATTTTGGGCTTCATATAAAATCTCAAGCACTACCCAGAGAATATTACACTACAATCTCTTTTAATCCATCTGTGGACTCCAGTTAGAAAAGCGAAGTGGCAGAATTTTCCCAGGAAGGTATTACTGTTAGTAAGGCAACTTTTCATTAGGCTTACATGAACTAAACTAAGTGAAACATTGATATTATTTAAAAATATTTGGGGAAAATCTATTGCATTTGGTAGATGAATGACTTTGAGAAAATACTTACAACTTCAAATGATCACTATTGGCCACCTATTTAACCTCTTGGTCAATTTATAATCTAATTTTATTTATTTTAGAAATTTCAGGGAAATGATGTAAGCAGGCGGATAGGATCAAATTGATTAGATTCGTAAACTGGAGACCACGTGCCCTGTTCAATCTCACACCACTACTTAACCCCACCTGAACACCCACCTGCCAATCACACTATGTAACCACTCTTCTTTGGGAGTAGATAAAAGGCCTGGAGCATGGTGGGATCTTCCCTTTTTTGATTGTGCACCCTTGTTGTGCCCTTGTTGCCTCAGGGTGAGTGGCCTTCTGGCCACCTGCTCTCTGCTTTCCTGCCTGCATGCTTGTTCCACATGGCACCTACCTGCTCTCTGCCTGGTATGGACCCAACTTAGCTTCTGGACTTCTTTCTCCCCTAATTAAAGCCCCTCACTTCCCTATAAATTTCTCTCAATGAACAAAATTCTTAAAAACTTTAAAAAAATTTCAAACAGGAAAAAAATACTGTATTCATGAGAGTACTTCAGAAAATTCATGGGAAACTGAAATTAAAAGATGAATTTAGGGGAGGTGTTTTGGTGCAATATGTTAAACACTGATTGGGATGCTGACATCCCAAATCATAGTACCTGGGATGAAATTCCAACTCTGCTCTTTCTGATCCAACTTACTGATGTGCCTTGGAGTCAACAAGTTGATGGCCCAAGTACTTGGGTTCCTGCCACCCAAGTGGGAGACCTACATGGAGTTCCTTCCTGGTCTCATCCTGGTCCATCTTCAGCTGTTGCAGGTTTTCAGGGAGTGAACCAGCAGATGATTAGATCTCTCTACCTCTTCGTCTGTTGCTCTGCCAATAGGTACATAGGTAGGTACGTACATAGATACACAGATTCATAGATAGATATAGATAGATTTTTTAAAAAAGATGCTTATTTTGGTGCAAAATTTTTGAAAATATGCATGTTTTTAATATGCATTTCCCATGAACTTTTTGAAGCCCCATCATATGTATGTATATTTATCATATAATATATAATATCAAGACTGTGTGTGTGTGACAGAGAGAGAAAAAAAGGGGAGTGTGTTACAGTGTTATCTATCTATAACTCTCTCTACATATGCACACAAAGTAAAATAGCTTTACAAATTTTCATATTTAATTTTTCCCCAAATCTATACAGTAGACTGTTAGAATTTTATACTTGAGACAAATTCAGTAGAAATTAATTACACACAAATAGTAAATAGGAGAGCCAGAGACCAAACATATAATGTACAGGTTGCATTCAGGCAAATGGCTGCTATCATATACCTATATGTAGGTAGTGTTGAGGGCACCTGGAAAATAAAATAATTCTCATACCTTCTAAAAATGACAGCATGTGATATTTTAGCAGGCATTCAGTCTCAAACTAATATTACTATGTTGCAGCTAGGGGCCGGCGCCGTGGCTCACTTGGCTAATCCTCTGCCTGCGGCAATGGCATCCCATATGGGCTCCGGGTTCTAGTTTCGGTTGCTCCTCTTCCAGTTAGCTCTCTGCTGTGGCCCGGGAGGGCAGTGGAAGATGGCCCAAGTTCTTGGGCCCTGAACCCGCATGGGAGACCAGGAAGAAGCGCCTGGCTCCTGGCTTCAGATCAGCGCAGTGCTGGCCGTGGCGGCCATTTGTGGGGGTTGAAACAATGGAAGGAAGATCTTTCTGTCTCTCTCTCTCTCACTTTCTGTAACTCTATCTTGGCTCCTTGAGTTTAAAGGAAGTTTAAAAGACTTCTGTAAATCTCCAGAGATTTCAACAGAGGTCAGATCCTTCTGGACTACCTCTAATTTGGCTTTGATTTTAGGTCTTTATTTTTCTATTTTAAGTCCATTTTCATACAACTGGATAGGAATTTTACTGTCTGCCATGTAGAAGCAAAGAGTTTTTTAAAAAGTGTAAATTGGCCAGTGCCACGTCTCCATAGGCTAATCCTCTGCCTGCAGCGCCGGCACACCGGGTTCTAGTCCCGATCGGGGCGCCAGATTCTGTCCCGGTTGCCCCTCTTCCAGGCCAGCTCTCTGCTGTGGCCCCAGAGTACAGTGGAGGATGGCCCAAGTGCTTGGGCCCTGCACCCACATGGGAGACCAGGAGAAGCACCTGGCTGCTGGCTTCGGATCAGCGCAGTGTGCCGGCCACAGTGTGCCAGCCACAGCAGCCATTGGGGGGTGAACCAATGGAAAAAGGAAGACCGTTCTCTCTGTCTCTCTCTCTCTCTCACTGTCCACTCTGTCCAAAAAAAAAAAAAAAAAAAAAAAAAAAAAAAAAAAAAAACTGTAAATTGGTTAACAGGTTTCTGGTCACAAATCCAATTCTGACATTAACCTAATACTTAGTATTTGGAGACTTATTTTTCTCACCTGTAAAATAGGGATAATGAGTATTTATACAGCAGGATTTTTATGACTACTAAAGGAGACCCATGAGAGCATACAACAAATGCCTGGTGTATAATAAACATGTAACTTGAAAGTTTTTCATAAAGAAAATTTTCTATTGAGAAACAAAGCTGAACACTTCCATGTTTGTATGTCTTGACAAAGGTAAGACTTTTTGTGAGTGTTTTTGCCAGGAGACAAGCTTGGGGATCAGCATAATATAAAACTACAGATACAGAACAGGATGCCTTAGGCAACAGTAAAATTCCACTTGGGGCAAGATAGTCACTTGAAAGGGGTTCTCTGGCAAAGATTCAAATTTTTTAGATAGAAATTGGATAAAGTGACTTGGAAACATTCCATCTCTGACATCTCATTTTCTCTATTTTTCTCCCTGAACTGTTATTAATTCACATTTAACCAGCCAATCATGGTTTTCAGAACTTACAGATTGGACTATCATAGTTACATATTTTTCTGTTTTTATTTGCAGGATGAGTGTCATGAATTCCGGAGCCAACAGAGAGACTTGGGAAAACTTGTCTGCACCAGAGAAAATAACCCTGTTCGAGGCCCTGATGGCAAGATGCATGTCAACAAGTGTGCTATGTGTCAGAGCATATTGTATGTGAAGAGACTAACCAATGATTTTGGCCTTTTGTGACTTTTGTGTCAGAAGATAGTTCCTGTCACCTTAAACCCAAGGCACTTGGCATCCACACATTAAAATCCATTGCTCTTCACTTGTGCTGAGATAGTTTCCAAAACACTTTAACACATTTTTTAAATTTTTGATGATACACATGAGGACACCTGGAATTGCTAGGGTAGAAAGCCAACTATTTTATAGTGATAATCATTGATCTTTTTATAAAAAAGATTTATTTATTTACTTGAAAGGCAGAACAACAGAGAGGGGAAGATACAGACATCTTTCATCCACTGGTTCACTCCTCAAATAACTGCAACAACCCGGTGTGGGTCAAGCAGAAGATAGGAACTCCATCCTGATCTCCCACATGGGTGGCAGCGGTACCAGCACCTGGGCCATCATCCACTGCCTTCCCCGAATCAGAATAGTGAGGTTTTGAGCCATCGCTCAAATATAGGATATGCATATCACAAATGGACTCTTAACCCAATTCACTACAGCACCAGCCCCAATCATTGATTTTTAAAGAGGAGACTTATAAACTAAAAAACCTAGGATAGGCCATAGTTCCAGTTCCTCCACTCTATGGTGAGTATTCAAAAAATTCATGGAAAATTTATATCCTAAAGAAGGGTCAAATTTTTTAACTAAAATGAACTTATTTTTCAATTATATTTTCCATGAACTTTTTGAAGTACCCACATACAAAGATCATGACTATACAATATAGTTTTTGTTTAGAATCAAGGAAATGGTATTTTTTTAAATGTTCATCAATTCCAAAGTATTATAACTATGTAAAGAATGATCAAAACTTAGATTTTTACAAATTAATTAGAAAAACTGAAAGGGGAAATGAAGCATCATCTCAATGAGAACCATAAATATATACTAGCAAGGACAAAAGTACTATAATAAACTTTTCATATCAGATCATTCTGGAAGACAGTATAGTAACTGAATTCGCGAAACTTGAGAGCATTGATATAAAAATATTCTTAGGAAAATTCCAACATTCAGAACTAATTAGTAAAAATAAATAGTAGTTTTATATATTTTAAGGTATGCAAAAATAGTGTTAAATTTGCTATTGTTTATAATTAGAGAAATAGTTGGTTAAAAATAGCCATATAAAAATTACCCTTTCCTTTTTTAATTTTGCAGTGAGCGAGAAGCTAATGAAAGAAAAAGTGATGAAGAAAAACCAACTGCCAAGTCCTCAAATGATGCAAAGGTTATACCAAAATAGTTATTTTACTTTTCATTCTCATAATCTTGCATTCTATCCACTTTATGGACAATAAAGATACTAATCTTCTACTTCAAAGAAAATTCACTTCACTGTTATTGTCACTTTGAATCAACATAAGTTTTTTCCCCAGGCTTTGTGGTTCGATGATTTTGTTGATTTTGTAGAGAATAGTCTTAGAGTATATGTCAGTTGTTGCTTGGGTCTTTTCTCTTTGGCAGAAACACGGATTGAAAAAGAGAGGGTACAAAAATCTTTACCACTTTGACTGCATGCTTCTCTCTGACACTTCAAATGTGAAATGAGTTTAGGGTAGCTTATTGACATTGATTTTTAATGATTCAGATAATACAAGCTAATCTTAAGCCTCCCCTTTAGTTTATCTCCTTTATATCTTTTTTCTGTTTTCTCCAGATGATTTTCTCAGCACCAGTGAATCAGTAATGTGTATGCATCATACTGCCATTTCTATTTGCTTTGCAAGACTAAAAAGAAGACATCTTCCTTCAGTCACTTACCAGTGACAGTCACATTTGTAGAGTTAGATTCCTGTGACAGTGTCCAGGGGTCAAGAGCAAACCTCATGTGGAAAATGGGAAAAAGGATGGATGAAAGGGAGAGGGAGACCAGGAGGTCTATCAAGTGTTTTTTTGTTTGTTTCCCCATATGTCCAGGACCAGTGCAGAGAGGTTCCGAATGAAGCAGAGGAAGCCAAGTTTAGACAGTCAGGGAGTTCCTTGGCCACCAATGGCAGAATAAGTGCAGCTTCCGAAAACCATTATTTGAGAAAACCACAAAGAGAAAAGGGGGAAAATTGCATGTTCATTACCTCATTCTCATTTTCTAGGACGAATGTAGTGACTTTCGAAACTACTTAAGGAACAATGAACTCATCTGCACTCGAGAGAATGACCCAGTGCGTGGTGCTGATGGAAAATTTTATAAAAACAGGTGCTACAAGTGCAGAGCTACCTTGTGAGTAAGAATATTCTCTGCCTTTTGCTAGAGAAGAAATTGCATTCTTTAGAAACTGCTGATTGAATAAATGTGGGTGCTCACGAATCCAGGGGATCCTTAAAAAGGTCTTTAGAATCAGCCCAAAAGTCGAGAATGCTTGATGTTGTGATGGAAAGAATGTTTGGAAATTAAGGCACGGAATCTAGATCTAACTTCTAACCACAATATTTAGCAATTGTGTCACTTAATTTTTTCAACTTTAAGCATTAGTTAGAAAAAATATTCCAAATTAAAAAAAATTTATATAAGGTGAAAAAATTTCATGTATCACTTAAACAGATTTAGGAGCATAATGATACTTCCCACACTACCCTCCCTCTTGCCTACCCTCCCACCTGCCCTTCTCCTTCCTCTCTTTTTTTCCTTTTAGTTTTTTTTGACAGGCAGAGTTAGACAGTGAGAGAGGGACAGAGAGAAAGGTCTTCCTTCTGTTGGTTCACCCCCCCCAAATGGCCACTACAGCCAGCGTGCTGCACTGATCCAAAGCCAGGAGCCAGGTGCCTCCTCCTGGTTTCCCATGCAGGTGCAGGGCCCAAGCACTTGGGCCATCCTCCACTGCCTTCCCGGGCCACAGCAGAGAGCTGGACTGGAAGAGGAGCAACCAGGACAGTATCCGGTGCCCTGACCAGGACTAGAACCCAGTGTGCTGGCGCCGCAGGCAGAGGATTAGCCAAGTCAGCCATGGCGCCAGCCCTCCTTTTAATTTTTACAATGAAATACTTTATTTTATAGTTATAAGCTTAAGTGTCCACTAGTTAAAGAATTCAACAAATAGTAAGAAGAAAAAAAATACTTCCTAAACAGTAGAGTGAAGGGCTGTAAACAATAATGAAACCTCAGAATGGCAATTTCACTAATGTTGTATTTTATGTACTGTATTAGTTATCACAGATCAGTGAAAACATATGTTTGTCTTTTGGGGACTGGCTTATTTCACTAAGCATAATGGTTTCCAGTTGCATCCATTTTGTTGCAAAAGACAGGATTTTATTATTTTTTATGACTAAAGAGCAATAGTGCATAAATACCACATTGTATTTAACCATCATCAAGTGATGAACATCTGGGTTGATTCCATATTAGCTATTGTGAATTGAGCTGCAATAAACATAGGGGTACAGATAATTTTTTCATTTGCTGATTTCACTTCATTTGAGTAAACTCCCAGGTGTGGAATGCCTGGTTCATATGGCATATCTATTTTCAGCTTTCTGTGGTATCTCCATACTGTCTTCCACAATGGCTGTGCTAGTTTACATTCCTGTCAACAGTGGATTAGGGTACCTTTTCCCCTCTTCTTCATTAGCATTTATTGTTTTGTGATTTCCATATGATAGTCATTCTAACTGGGGTGAGGTAAAACCTCATTGTGGTTTTCATTTACATTTCCCTAATGGCTGGTGATCCTGAGGGTTTTTTCATATGTCTGTTAACCATTGAATTTCATCCTTTGAATAATACCTGTTGAAGTCCTTTGCCCATTTCTTAACTTGTTATTTGCTTCATTGTTGAGTTTCTTGAGCCCTTTATAGATTCAAAATAGTAATGCTTTATCAGTTGCATAGCTTGCAAGTATTTTCTCCCATTCTGTTGTTAACTCTTCATTTTGTTGAATGTTTCCTTTGCTGTGAAGAAGCTTCTTAGATTTATGTAATCCCATTTATCTATTTTTGCTTTTATTTTGTTCCATAACTAGACAAGACTCAACAGAGAAACCTTGCTTTAAAAAATTATAGATTTGGGCCTGTGCCATGGCTCACTAGGCTAATCCTCTGCCTGCGGTGCCGGCACACCGGGTTCTAGTCCCAGTCGGGGCGCTGGATTCTGTCCCGGTTGCCCCTCTTCCAGTCCAGCTTTCTGCTGTGGCCCTGGAAGGCAGTGGAGGATGGCCCAAGTGCTTGGGCCCTGCACCCGCATGGGAGACCAGGAAAAGCACCTGGCTCCTGGCTTCGGATCAGTGCAGTGCACCGGCCGCAGTGTGCCAGCTGCAGCAGCCATTGGGGGGTGAACCAACAGTAAAGGAAGACCTTTCTGTCTCTCTCTCTCTCACTGTCCACTCTGCCTATCAAAAAAAAAATTATAGATTTGTAAACCTAAAAATATATTAGAATTTCCAGGACTAAGTAATTTGTTTTTTAGAAAGAGGTTCTAGGTTATGATAATAAACAACCAAATTTGGAGACAATGAACATGATAAATGATGGTGATAATCATGATTATATAAAACAACCTCTATGAAAATAATAATAAACAGTATTTACTTAGCTTTTCACAACATGGATCTTTTGAGAAAGGAATTCCCAATGCTATTTTGTTTTTATGTTCCGTGAAATTCAAACTCAAGGACCTTAAGCAACTTGCACAGTCAGACATCTATTATATGATGAGAGCTCTAAAAGACTCCCAGTTCTGTCCTGTTCTTAACTTATCATCCTAGTCACTCATTGATTGAATGTTCTCTGCTTCTATCATATTTTATTAGGGTTGCTTAACTTTCCAACTTGTCCTTGTGAATATTATTTTAAATTATTTTTTATTTCTTTTTCCAGTCAAAGAGAAGCTTTGGAAAGGGAAAAACTTCAAGAAAAGTTGTCCCACATTCAAGCTTCTGAGGAGAAAGACAGCCTAGATTCCATCAGTTCTCTGGTAAGAATGACTGTGACTGAATTGCTACAGGATTCTTTTGGTCTCTGGCTCTTCCCTTCCACATCTCTTTTCTACAGACGGCACAGAGGAAGGCTGAGTCAGCCCAATCTGAAGTCCTTTGAGTACTAAATGCATATTTTTCCTGGTGAGAGTCCTGGGAGTACTTGTCAGCATGTTGTTATTTGCTTTTTGAGATTTTTTAGCTCTACCTCAATTTAGCATTTTTTGAAATTTTAAAAAGTGGGTGTGTAATGAGAGTGCCTACTCTCATATGTCAAAAATGTAGTCAGGTGCCTCAGTTCTATAAGTCAGCAGACCAGAGAGGCTCAACAGCTAACTTCTCTCATTTCCCTCCCCCATCTAACTCCTTTCCCAGTAACCTGGAATGCTGTGCTGAGCGTGCTCACGCTCACAAATTTCTACCTGTAAATAAGAGTGTTTAAATCTTTTTATTTAAAATATAGGCTGATGGATACCTGCAGTGCATGTCTTAGTGTAAATTAGTCTGATTTATTTATTTAATTATTTGAAAGTCAGAGTTACACAGAGAGAGAAGGAGAGGCAGACAGAGAGAGGTCTTCCATATGCTGGTTCACTCCCCCCAGATGGCTGCAATGGCTGGAGCTGTGCCAATCCAAAGCCAGGAGCCTCCTATAGATCTCCCATGTGGTTTCTTCTACTGCTTTCCCAGGCCATAGCAGAGAGTTGGATCAGAAGTGGAGCAGCCGGGACTCAAACCGGCGCCTATACAGGATGCCGTCACTACAGGCCATAGCTTAACCCACTGCGCCACAGCACCAGCCCTAATTAGTCTAATTTTTTTAAAAAAATATTTATTTATTCTAAAGGCAGAGCAGCAGAGAGGAACATACACACCACACCACATACACACACACACACACACACACACGCAGAGAGAGAGAGAGATTCCAAACATTGGTTCACCCCCACCCCCCAATGCCCTCAGCAGCTGCAGTAAGGGCCAAGAATTCCATTCAAGTCTCCCTCTTGGGTAGCAGGAATCCAAGTACTTGGGCCATCATCTGCTGCCTCCTGTGATGCGTTAGCAGGAATCTGAATTCAAAGCAGAGTAGCTGGGACTTGAACCAGGCACTCCAAAGGAGTATGCAAGTATCACAAGCAGCAACTTAACCTGCTGTGCCACAATACCTCTTTCTGGATTTCTTTTCTAGAGCCCTGACAAGGTGAGAAATAGAAAGCAGCAAAGTTAATATGAGAACATGAAGCAGATTAATGAAGTAGAATTTTAAGACTGGACCCCAAAGGGACATGATAGCACTTAGGCTGAGGATCCGAAAAAATAGAAAGAAAAGTATCAAAGGTGAATTTCATAAAATTATTTATCCAATTCAACTGGGATAACAGATCACTTACACAATTGAAAGTGCTTCAATTACACCATTCTAATAAATTGAGCTAAAATATGAGCTATTCACAAAACTAGTTCTTTCTTAAAAATACATTTTACTGAAGTGTAGCAATCATATGGTAAAAGTGCACATACCCTAAGTCTCTAGCTAAATGAATTATCACAAAGTGATCACATCTGTGACAGCAGTTCCTAGGTCAAGAAATCTCACCAGTAGACCAGAAGACCCTCCATGCTCTTTGCCAAATCCACAATTGGATTTTGAACTCTTAAGATTTCTTTAGAAAAGGAGATTTGTGTTCATTGTTTTTCCCCAACCTGGCAGTCTATTTGTCGTTCCACAAGTATTTATTGAGCACCTAGTATTTTTCCAGGCATTATTTATATTTTCTGGGCTAATAACCATAAACAAAACAAATAGGAATATTTGCACTCATAGGTTTGTAGCAATATGTTGTTACTATCCATGAATGCAGACGTCCATTGCCTTAGAATGTATTCCCTGTGGATATGGGGGACCACTATATTATGATTAATTATTTAATTCATATTTTCCAAAACTACAAAGAGCAAACATATTTGTTCTTTTCCATGGTAAACTTGGTTTTCCCACCATGGAAAATATACTGACAACAAGTACTGAGCACTTAGTATAGGACATTGTGTTAAGCGTGCTTTTAAGTGCATTTTCTGTGATAGGCAGTTGGTGTAGGTTGACTCTGCTTGGGACACCTGAATTCCGTATCACAGTGTTTGTGTTCAAATCCTAGCTCTGCTTACGATTTCAGCTTCCTGCTAATGTGCACCTTGGGAGGCAACAGATAATGGTTCAAGTAGTTGAGTCCTTACCACCCTGTTAAAGATCTGGATTGTGTTACAGGCTCATGGCTTCACCTGGATGTTGTGGTCATTTGGGGAGAGAGTCAGCAGATGGAAGATCTTCCTCAGTATCCCCCCCTCTGTCACTCTTTGCCTTTTGAATTTAAAAAAAAGTGTCATCTGCTTTAATTCCCTAAAATAATAATGCGAGGTAAAGGATGATATTTATTATTCTTGGTTTTCAAACGAGAAATTTAAAGCTCAGAAATGTTAGGTAAATCATGTCTCCAGTATCGACAGAGCTAGAACTCAAAAACTCATCCAATTAACTATATTTACTTCTGAATTTTTCCTGAATTAGATATAACCCGAGTCAGCATTTAAAAATGAATGTTATATCTAGCATGATTATCATTCTGATTTTCTTCCCATGAGCATTACCCAGCTTACCATGCCCCACACTATGTAATGATTCTAATCTTTGTTGATTATTTTCTGTAGTAAAAAGAAGGCAAATCCAATATATGAAGGCCATTTAATGTAGAGGGAAATACATCTGTGATTTATATAACCTAAAGCACAGTTGCTTTGTGAATCATTAATTCAAATGTGACTGAGAAAACCAAGAGGTTCTCCCAAGCTCATGTGTTCATTTGAATGCTATTAAGCAAGTCTGTTTTATGTTTTTCTTTTCCAGGATTCTGAGATGTGCAAACACTACCGAGTATTGCCCAGGATAGGTTATCTTTGCCCAAAGGATTTGCAACCTGTCTGTGGAGATGATGGCCAGACGTACAACAATCCCTGCATGCTTTGTCATGAAAACCTGTAAGTTTAAAGGTTGTACCAATACTGATTTCTGTGGTCTGAAACGAAGTTTTTGGAGAGCAATTGCAATTGAAGCAACATCTAAAGACAAATTGTACAGTCTTGATAAATGATGCACTTGCCATCATCAGAGGCAACAAGTAGACATTTGATTCAAAATATTCCTTAAGTGAGAGGTATTAAAATTCCTACTCTCGGAGATCCTTTCACACTGTAAAATTCAAACTGTGTTATGTCTTGCTATATTTTAAAATTTCTAAGTCATATTATAGATACTCAATATATAGTCAGACCTCTCTAAGATCTAATTTTCCCATCTATAAAATAATGACTTTTGAGTGATCTCCACGTTTATTTCCAACATTCAACAATGAGGTACATATACTAGTGAATGAAATGCGATGGAATAGGTCCAGGGATAGAGGACACATCCAGAGCAGAGGAGAGAGCATGCATGACGCCTACTGGAAACAGTTGAAAGCAGATTCATTTCTGCCCCCAGTTTAGTTTGGTACGATGTGTAAACATCACCTACATTGTCATTGTTTTTTCTCATTTTAATTCTGGATTTTCCCATCATTGAAGCACCCTCTGCTCTGTTTCAGGATACGCCAAACTAATACACACATCCGTAGTAAAGGGAGATGTGAGGAGGGCAGCGACCCAGGAGCCACACCTGTCAGCCTGCCTACATCTGTGAGTACACTGCCTACATGATTACAATGTTGGAAGCAGTTAGTTCTACTTTTATTCCCTTGCATTACGTGATGGAAAATCTCAGGCCAGAGAACGATGCATTGTCAGGTGGCCTCAGAATTGATCACATTGTCATTGTGAAGATAATTAAGCAATTGCTGAAATACATGAGAGCAATAATATAGCGATTGGCTAATTGCTTATAAGCAATGTTCCCAATCTAGCATTACTTTTTGCAGGGTAAATTTCATTCTCTGTGATCTACAATTTTAAAAACAACAGAGAATAGAGAGTTCAGAAAGTGACATTGCTATATTGAAATCATTTCATTGCAATGTCTGTTGCATGACATTTTCCCCCAACATTGCAAATTGGTCTATTTGGTTTAAACATGTTCAAGGACATTTCAATACAGTTACTGAGTTTGAAAGTCGCCCTTGTTACTGTGTTTGAGGAGTGTCTTTCTCAAGTAAGATGATGTGTACCTTGGAAAATATAGGAATTTTCACATAAGAGAAAATGTTTTATTAGAAAAGTCGATTCAAACTTCACTTTTTATATTCTTCACATATGAGACCTTTGATGAATCACATTATTACTCTAAACCAATGTCTCAATGAACTAATGGAAATATTCATCAAACACTAGTTTTTAAGCATTTGGCATTTGGCACAGTATCTGAAAAATTATGAGCGTATTTTATTATTATAAGGGCTGTGACCAAAGTATGAATTCAGAGCAAGAGAAGAGTTTGAAGTATAAACTTAGGAAAATGGACCCTGGAACAATGCTTATTAATTTTAATAAATTATTTTATTAGTTATATTTTGATAAAACTGCATGAATATTTAACAAACATTTGTATTTAATAAAATTTTTGATACATTATGTTTAATAAAAGTATTTATTATTAGCAACAACTATCTATACTCCATTTCACTGCCACAAAAAATGTTGGCAATAATGGTGTTAGAAACTATTCTGCTAGATTTGGGATCTTAGTTAAGTCAGCAACAATGCTAGGTGAGGCCATAGTCAGAACTACTCAACAAGCTTTGATATGGAAAATTGGGAAAACAAGAGCTGCATATTCCAGTGCTTCTGTTTTCAGGTTAGCAATTGGTTGGCAGAGGCCCAGGATAAAATCAGAATACCTGCATTTCTTTCTTGAATGTTGATCATTTACCTATCTGATTCTTTATTTATCCATAAAAAGGGGGTTTAGACTTTTGTTCTAGCCCCCATATTGGGCTTGCTATCTAATTACATAGAAATTCTTACTGATTTGCTCACAATTTTATTGATACAGCATACTGTTCCCTGTCCTTACAAACATGCTTAGTCACATGTATCTCTGAACAGGGAGGTCAAAATAATTTTTTTGCAAATCAATAGATTATCTTGAACCACACCTCCCTCTACTGCATCCTATGTAGGAAACTTTGCAAAAACTGCTTTATAATGAACTTGCTATATGGTTATACTGATAAAATGTATTAGTTCAAATAATGAAGAAATTGCCAGCTTTGAGCACATAGGTTTTGTAAGGAACTTTGTTCCTTATATTTCTGGATGTTTTCTTTCCACTAGGGCTACATTGTAGGCATTGGTGATAGGAATTACTTATGGTGTTAGTTGGCAAAACCAGTCATTGAAGCAAAAGATGTCTAGGACATAGCTGAAACTTTAGTTCTACTCTGACCAGTGGTATGATGTTGGGCACTGCCCAACATTGTTCTGATGACTGTTATGGGTATATATTATACTGGTTGGCATCTATTGACTGAACTTTATTCCTTCCTGGGTGAAAGATTCTCTAAGACAATCTAGGATCCTTAGAATGGAATGAAGAATTAAGCCATTTCTTTCCTAGAAAAGAAAGTTGAGGATTCTGGTTTTTGCTTACCATATTATATATTACTATATAATAAGTATGATATAATAACTACTAAGGCTTATGTAGCTTTCAAGAGTTTTCTGTACATTTTCATTTTTCATCTTGGTAATAGTCCTGTGACTATGGAAGGGATCATTGTCCTCCCCATTTTACAAAAAATCAGCTTTTGGAAAATTTGTCATTTGTTAAAGCTATTGAGTACCATATCTTGGATCCACTAAGAATCTTCTGAATTTGTTATGCTCTTCTGTCGCCATCACTTACTTGTCTGAAAACCAGGATTCTAGAGATGATATTAAATCAATTAAAAGAAGATTTGTTTTGAAGAAAAGTCCTATATTAAGGAAAACACCAATATTATTTAATGAGTCAAACAAGTGAATGCTTAACAGTTTCATGAGGAACCTTATCAAGGACTGGACAAGAACATAGCTTTCTCTTTCAAACAACAGAAAACTTCATGGAGTTGATGTAGGCATGAGAATAGATGCCTGAGTTTGGAATGACAATGCTACTCATACCTTGATAGTACCAGCTGATGATGTACATTTCCACAGAAGAAAACTTCCTGAGCTCCTTGACCCTTTTAAAATATTTTAAAATCTTTACTAAATGTCTAAAACATTGATTTCAAGAGTATATGAATTCATGAATGACTCAGCAAACAAAACAACTGATTATATTTTCATGACCTAAAACAAACTGTAAGAGAAAATCATTAGTATTATAAGAATTTGATTCGGAACTGGCATTGTGGCATAGCAGGTAAAGCTACCTCCTGTGAAGCTGACATCACATATGGGCACCAGTTCATGTCCCAGGTGTCAACTTCTGATCTAGTTCTATGCTAATGGCCTAGATAAAACAGTGGAAGATGGCCCACGTGTTGGGCCACTACCTACTGATGTAGGAGAACTGAATGAAGCTCTTGGCTCCTGGCTTTGGCCTGGCCCAGAGCAGGCCATTGCGACCATCTGGAGAATGAATCTGTGGATGGAAGATTCTCCCCCCGCCCCCCACCACATACACATTTCTCTCTCTCTCTTTCTCTCTCTCTCTCTCTGTGTGTGTGTGTAATCCTTCCAAAATAAATAAAATATTTAATAAAAATAATTTGATTCATCATAACCTTATATGAGACCTTGACAAATTATTAAACTTCTTGGAAGCCCAGTTTCTTCATTTGAAAAATAGTGTGAATGACACCTATCTTTTTTATTACCGTAAAGGTTATACATAATCAAGAGCATAGTTAGGCCATGATCATTTTTGTATCCACTTCATCAGGTAGTACAGACTAAGTGTTCAATTGATACTCATTGAATTAAATTATAGAAAAAATAAAATAGTGGTCTTAACATTGTTAGTTCTTGAGAAAATGCATCAACCTATGGATTTATTTGATTAAGATACAGCTATAAATGTACAACCCATAACACTGCAGCATCCTTGAGTTCTAGCATCTAACCTACTCATCTTCTCTTCTAGGACAAATGATGTGAGGACTGGTGAAAGCCACATTGGAGAAAGATACCCCCGTTCTGAATCACCTCCCTTCACCTTCTGTATATACAAGGAATTCTTCAAAAGCTCATCTTATTTACTATAGAAAATAGCACAGTGCTGTTGGGAATGGACTCACTGATTTTCAGGCTTTTCCATCTCTTTCCTCCTAGACTCTGTGATCTGAGGTTACATAGACATCTCTACCCAGTCTTTTCTCTGGAAATGTCATCCTGATCACAATGCTGTCTGTCCAACTGCCTGTTTAATAAAAGTAGACTCAGCAGAACACTCTTTCTGGGATTTTTTTTGGTCACTGCTTAGATATTAGGAATATATTTTTTACTGACACTGAATAAACTCTACGTTTTGGCTTACTAAGCCCATGGGTGGATAGAGGATGTTAACTTTTTTCATATTCAACTTTCTATCCTAATTAGGAAAAGTGTCTATAAAAGAGATACTGCAAAAAGCTCTCAGGCAGCCAACAGCTGCATAATGCCCAGGCAGCCAACAGCCAGATAAAGCTAAACCAGCTATGAATAAGCCTCTCTGTAGCTGTCTATCACCCACCACTGCCCCATCTTGTTATTATATTTCTTTTTTTTTTTTTAACAGGAAGAGTTAGTGAGAGAGATAGAAAGGTCTTCCTTCCTTTGGTTCACCCCCCAAATGGCCGCTACAGCCAGCGCACTGTGCCGATCCGAAGCCAGGAGTCAGGTGCTTCCTCCTGGTCTCCCATGAGGGTGCAGGACCCAAGCACTTGGGCCATCCTCCACTGCCTTCCCGGGCCACAGCAGAGAGCTGGACTGGAAGAGGAGCAACCGGGACAGAATCCGGTGCCCCAACTGGGACTAGAACCTGGGGTGCTGGTGCTGTAGGCGGAGGATTAGCCTAGTGAGCCGCGGCGCCGGCCAATATTATATTTCCATGAATAGCATTACTGTCCCATTTATATAGGCCCCATCCAATGACACAAGTCAGTAATCTCTCATAAATGATCATGTTGCCTCTGGATAATTTCCCAATATAAGGGCCTTGTACCTATAATCTGGGAAAGAATAGGGAAATGAGTTACCAACATGTGCAAGGCTTTACAATGGACTCCCTAAAAGAAATGTACTGTGAGCCATGTACACAATTTACATTTTCTATCAGCTTCAGAAATAGGTAATATTAATTTTAAATAGTCTAATACATCAAAGTTAATAATATAATCAATGTATACCTTCCTGCTTACTAAGTATTTGATACTGGTGTGTATTTTACACTTTTAGTACATCTCAGCTTGAACCAGTCATATACTGAGTACTCAAAAGCTTCCTGTAGATAATGGTTACCATGTTAGACAATGCAACTCTGTCCTGAGAAAACGTGTGGAGAATACTTTATGGTCTAAGGCATTCTCTCAGCTGCAGAAAAAATGTGCCAATTGTGATTGACCTGGTTAGATTCGGAAAGTTAATTTGACATTTTCCTTCTATCTTTTTTTTTCCCAAAAAGTCTGCATTAGGCTTGTTACAGTAGAAATTTTTTTTTATCTTTGTCCTTTGGGACTGAAAGAGAATCAGTCTGTATGCTGTATTCTTTCTATGTTATTAAGGAAAAAGAAAGAAGAATTATAAATCATTTTTTAAGCTTGAAAAATATAGATTCATTTCAGGAAAATTTAGAAAATTTTGTTGAATTTTTTTCTTCTGCAATTTTGGGTTGTGGGATGAGTTTTGAGATTCTATGGTATGTGAGATTGTATCTCTTTCCAGTAAACTAGAAAATCCAGAAACTACATTTTCATGAGTAAGACATAGGCTTTTTTTAAAAGAAGTAGTTATTTTGTTATTCTCATTTTTACATTTTATTGAATTCTAAACAAAGCATGTTTTAATTTCTTTCAATATCATTATTACATAATATTTACAAAAATTTTACTCCACCCTTAAGTTATAACCAATTCTTGAAAATCACTCTGATTATCAGGAAAGGAGTGGGCTTAGGGATAGAGTGAAGGACATGGTAATCTAGAATGGGATGAGACATACAGATGGAGAAACCCCAAGGACTTCAGGGGTAAGAGTGAGTGGTTCAGAGGTCACAAAGGGGATAGGGACCTGGATAAATAAAACTGAAGATGAAGTGAGCCTCGAGGATGGGACATAAGAGTGGGAAGATGGGACATAAGAGTGGGAATATGTGGAACACATTAATTGCCATTAAAAAAAAGTTGAAAGTTGGTTTCTTTTTAGATACACAGACTGTGTCAAGGTATATAAATACCATCTGTGCCAAAAATGTCACAACAAAATGGCTACATTGAATGTCAAGTCAACTACTCTTTGTGTTACTTCTTCAGTTTTGTTCTGACTGGAGGCAAGTTAAAGCAAGTCGTTTAACCGAGGCTTCACAAACCAGCCCTACAATCCTAAACCATGAAGAGGCACGTGGATTGTGAGTTGGAACTAGGGAAAGCAAGAATTTTTTTCTGTCATCCCTTCCTGGCCAGAAGTACAGACTTAATGCATTTCTCTACAACTCTTCCTCAGGCTCCATTTGCAAAGTGTGGATCTTCAGAGATACATGCCTTTCAAACTCCATAGTTTCTCATATAAAAGACTTTGCTTAAGCCTTTCTCACTCCCTCAAGAATTCAGGAACGCCCCCAGAAGAGCACTTATATAGACTATGGATTGGCAACCTTTTCCTGAAAACAGCCAGATAGTAAATATTTTAGGCTTTGTGGAAGACAGCATCTCTCTCACAAGTATTCAGTGCTGCCATTGTGTGAATAAATGCAAATAAATGGATTTATATTATGTAAATAAATCCACCTAACTTTGTTCTAATAAAATTCTACAAATTCAGCATTCTTAATCCATAATCTGAAATCCTAAATTCTCCAAAATCTGATAGTTTTTGAGCATCAATATGACACTACAAATGGAAAATCCAACACTGTGAAACTTTATTTCACACACAGAATTATTAAAAATATTACATAAGAGGTGGGCATTTATTTAGCCTATTGGTTAAGCCACTTGTTAAGATGCCTGTGTCTCTTTGGAGTACTTGGATTTGACCTCTGGCTCTCACTTCTCACTCCAGTTTCCTGCTAGTACAGGCCATGAGAGACAATAGTGAAACTTCAAGTAACTCTGTTCTTGCCACCCCCATTAGAGACCCAAATTGACTTCCAGGCTCCTGCCTTCAGCCTGGTCTAGCTCTCATTGTTACGCTCCTTTGGGAACTAAATCAGCAGATGAGAGCTCTTTCTGTGTGTGTGTGTCTCCCTGACTTTTAAATAAATAGAAAAATAATTTATAAAACTACCTTCAGGCTGTGTGTATAAGAAGTATATGAAATATAAATAAATTGTATGTTTTGACTTGAGTTCCAAATCCAAGATATCTCAATACATATATGTAACTATTCCAAAATATGAAAACATATGAAATACAAAACACTCTGGTCTCAAGTATTTTGGATCAGGGATGGTCAACCTGTATTTACAAAAGTAGGTGATGGGCCTGATATAGACCAGCTCAGTAATGGACAAGCATTTTTGTGTTGTCCTTTCTTGTTATTTGACCAGTCTTTTCCGGCTGTGTTCCCTTAAGCCACCCAGGCTTCTCATTCTATCCTAATGGTAGTGATGCTAGTAAATATTAAAAAGAAAATAATATAATGATAAAAAAAAGTTGTTGATGAATACTTTACATGTTTTAGAAGCTGAGAAATGCAAATGGCAAGATTTACAAGGTGCAATTTGACCCTGTGAGCTGTGTCATGTACTGAATTGCGTGCTCTCAAAATTCTGAAGTTGAAATGCCAACTCACAATGTGACTATATTTGGAAACTGCCATTAAGGAGGCAATGAAGGCTGAAGGAGCTTACGATAGTGAGGCCCTAATCTCACAGCATGGATGCCTTCATGAAAATGAGAAAGGGACACCAGAGGTCTCTCACATGCATGGAGGAAAGTTCTTGGGAGGACACAGTGAAAAGATGGCAGCCGTCTACAAGCCGGGAAGACAGCCCTCACCATAAAATGAATTTCCTGGCACATTGATTGAGGCGTGAGAAAATAAATTTCTGTTGTGTAACTCACCCTCGTTGTGGTACTTTGTTATGGCAGCCCAAACCAACTAATACACTGTGCTCTTTGTCTTATGGTTTGCAGAGTTTTGAGCAAGGCTAGGCTCATGTGTTACACAGTTAAATCAAGAATGACTCCTCTCTGTGGACTTCACCAGTGATGGCTGATATCCCACACTGTTCACTCTTAGGAAGAAGCAAAACAGGATATCCAGTTCTATCCATGATACCAACCTGACACACAGATTCCTTTCTGGTTCCAGTTTTGAAATCAAACTTGTCTCTAAACAATATGTTACGGAAAATCATTCATATCTGAAGGATAAACAGAGAGAATGACTTTGTCAGTTGTACATAGATTTCCGGTGTTACGCTTTTATATAATTTCCTGGATGCTGGCTTTGGCCTGGCCCATTGGCTAAGTCTGGCTGGTGAAGACACGTAAGGAATGAACCAGCGGATGGAAGATCTCTCTCTTTGTCATTCACTTTCTTTTCTTTCTTTTTTTTTTTTTTTTTTTTTTTTTTTTTTTGACAGGCAGAGTGGACAGTGAGAGAGAGAGACAGAGAGAAAGGTCTTCCTTTTGCTGTTGATTCACCCTCCAATGGTCGCCATGGCTGGCGCGCTGCAGCCAGTCCACCACGCTAATCCGATGGCAGGAGCCAGGTACTTATCCTGGTCTCCCATGGGGTGCAGGGCCCAAGTACTTGGGCCATCCTCCACTGCACTTCCCTGGCCACAGCAGAGAGCTGGCCCAGAAGAGGGGCAACCGGGACAGAATCCGGCACCCCGACCGGGACTAGAACCCGGTGTGCCAGCGCCGCAAGGCGGAGGATTAGCCTAGTGAGCTGCAGCGCCGGCCAAAAAGCACAAAATTCACTTTCTATTAATCTATGTTTTTGATAAATAAAAGCAAATTTTAGGAAGATACTGTTCTATTCACAATAAAGTGACTATAGATAATATGCTATATATTTTTCTTTTAAAAAGTTAAAACAGATTTTAAATGTTTTCACCATAAATAATGTTTGAGGAAGTAGATATGTTTAGTCTGATTGGACATTACACAAGGTACACATGTATAAAATATCACAAGGAACCCTGTAAATATGTATAATTTTATGTGACAGTTAGAAATAAAGATACAGAGATATGAAAACTCTGTGCCCTGAGGACTTTGCTTTGAATCCTCTAACATCACTTGTTTGTCATTTGCAAGGTGGAGATATTAACATTATCTGCCAGAAAGCTAATGTGAGGGCCACGTCAGGTCACGTGGGTGAAAGTGTTGAGTGACTGAAAATCACTGGACTGTGGGAGAACTAGTAAAATAATTTGAAATTAATTATGTAGACAGACAGAATTATGTAGATATGTGTGCAGGGAAATGTGGCAATACAAAAGCACTTCAAAAATTTGGTGTAAGATTAATCAACACATAAATTTAGGTTGATATAAATATATTTTATATCCATGCATATGAATAATGTGCATCATGCAAAAACTATGAATAAATTTCAGTATTTCTTGCACCAACCTAACTTATCTTTGAATTCCACCATAGGCATTTTGAATTACCCTTGTATCATGGTTAAAGTCTTATGATATATGTGACAGTATTCTAAAATCAGCACTTTCTTGATAAATATCCATTTTGGTCATGAAATGGAAAAATTTTTGAAGAGAAATATAAGATTTTAGAGAATAAGGTCTCCCTACTGTTAATGACATGACTAAATAGAGTGTGCTTAATCTTTCTGAGTTTGTTGCTCTAACTGCGAAATAATAATGATATGATTTGCATATTTCATAAGTTTATTTTAGCCATTCAACAAGCAAATGCGTGTTAAATTCCATTGTAGAATATTGTGATATATCTTCCTACTCCAGAAGCAAAGTACTGTCAGTGTTAACTGTTAACATTTCCTGTGTACTTAAAGAACTGTCCTCATTGCCTCTACTTTCTATTTCAACTCATCTGTGTGTAATATAACAATGATGTCCTTGATAAATGTTATTTTAATGTTGGTTTCTTCTTACTATACCCATGATTGTATTTGTTCTCCAGTACAGTGTTGCTGTTGTATTTGCATAGGATCATTACATAAAATATCTTTGAGTATATTTGTTTCCCCATTCCTTCTCTCTACTGCATATCACTCCACTCTCCTGTGGTGATCCAGCAGAAGGGACAGAGGTGAATGTAGCTTTCTCTGTGTGGTCTTTATGCAAGTGAAATCACAGCTAATGTTGAGTGGAGTTGTAAAAGTAGCTACAGTGGCTCACAGTGGACTGGAGTAGTTCCTCAGAAGCTAGGCATGTTACTGTCTTGCATCTCCTTTGGACTTTCTGTAAAGTTTGCAAAAAAGAACCTCCTTATAAAAGGAGAACAGAGAGAGAGTAAGCATTTACCTTTGGATAGTATTTTAAACTTCTCTGAATATTTTTCACATTCAGTATTCCCTTGTGCTAGAGATGGATTTGGGCATATTTTATTTTCCTTAAGTGCAATCTTAAAAATATTTTCACAGTATGTTATGCCCTATACATTTTTTTTTTTTTGACAGGCAGAGTGGACAGTGAGAGAGAGAGACAGAAAGAAAGGTCTTCCTTTTGCCGTTGGTTCACCCTCCAATGGCCGCCGCGGACAGCGCGCTGCGGCCGGCGCACCGTGCTGATCCGATGGCAGGAGCCAGGAGCCAGGTGCTTTTTTCCTGGTCTCCCATGGGGTGCAGGGCCCAAGCACCTGGGCCATCCTCCACTGCACTCCCTGGCCACAGCAGAGGGCTGGCCTGGAAGAGGGGCAACCGGGACAGAATCCGGCGCCCCGACCGGGACTAGAACCCGGTGTGCCGGCGCCGCAAGGCGGAGGATTAGCCTAGTGAGCCGCGGCGCCGGCTGCCCTATACATTTATAAGAATATTCGTGTGCTTTAAAAAGCCTGTCCCATAATAGAAGCTATCTTTGGTACTTGTCCCAGGGAAACTGCTATGAAGGTTAAGATTAAGGTAGTTCACTGATAATCAGAATATTTTACGAAAGAAAACAAAGAGGAAAAGAGAAAGAGAAAGAAATGATAAAAGGAAGAAAATGACCTTAGGAACATGAGAGTCTTGATGGACATCTTAATGTTTTAAGTGGCAGCTAAAAGAGAATTTTCTGGATTGCTTGGTACCTAACACTGGCTTTTACTACCTCAATGGATCCCTCTTTTCTATCATATGAAAGCTTAGTGATTAATTTGTCCCCTTTCATGTCATGTACTCATTTGGCTTGCTTGATTTAAGAATGTAAGATGTTTCATTTCAGGTCTCCAAGGGCTTCCTTCAAAAATATGATTTCTCCTGTAGGAAGAGTTCTGGTTCAATTCTTTTTTTTCTCTTTCGGCTAATTATGGGTTGTACTGAGTCTCTTTGGAGCTTTGGCAGATTCCACTTAGAGGAGCAGAGTCCCCAGGATGGCTGAATGGCAGGCAAGAGCCATCCACAAATATGGATCTGGATCTGACTCCTCAGTGGAAAATTATCTGAAGGAAACTGATCTCAGGTCTGTCTCTATGAATGTGATTCTTCCACAAGAAAAATATTTAGAGTCATTTTTTCCAAATCATACGTCACATTGAAATATATCCTCTGTTTCTGTGCAAGTTGAGGGCTGGTGATTGCCCATATACTGGTGGGGAAGATTCAGATCATCTCATCTAATTTTAAAAAGACTCAGGCTTTTTTTTCTTTTTTTAAGGATTTTTTATTTATTTCTTTGACAAGTAGAGTTACAGAGAGTGAGAGAGAGAGACAGAGAGAAAGGTCTTCCTTCCATTGGTTCACCCCCCAAAATGGCCGCTACGGCCTGCGCACTGCGCCAATCCGAAGCCAGGAACCAGGTGCTTCTTCCTGGTCTCCCATGTGGGTGCAGAGCCCAAGCACTTGGGTCATCCTCCACTGCCTTCCCGGGCCACAGCAGAGAGCTGGACTGGAAGAGGAGCAACCGGGACTAGAACCCTGTGCTCATATGGGGTAGCGATGCCGCAGGCGGAGGATTAGCCAAGTGAGCCAGGGCCCCGGGCCCACACTCAGGCTTTTTTAAGTAAATGGGGATCAAACATGGGCAGTTTAATCTCCTGCTAATTTTAGCACACAAATGAGGACTTTGAAATTCCTCATTTATAAGACAAGCAAGAATCCAAACAGAATTCAGAACAGATCCAAAAAGAATCCAAAACAGATCAAATCAGACCAATAATAGTGCATATACTCTGAGTGTCACCATGTGAAGAGGACTCAGTTAATTATGCACACAAGTAAAAGAAGGTATCATACTGAGACAAGAGATTTAAAACTATGATCTGATTAAAAAGGTCTCAGGAAAATTCAGGACAGCTGGGAAAGATGAGGATGCATGCGGAACCACCACAAGAGAGAGCAGAGTTTTCTCAATGTTCTCAGCTCTGGGGATCCACAGAGATCACTGACAGCATGAGTTTAACATGCAGAGTTAGACTTTCCCTTGGTAAAGAGATGAATTTTCTTGTAGACAATCTGAACATGAACAAAGCCTCTGTACATTCATCTATCGAGAGCACAGTGGTTTGTTTAGCACTGACTGGCTACAAGCTTGTTCACTGTGCTTGAGAGATTTGGGTGGTTTTTCTGGCAATACAAATAGGTCGCGAGAAGTCAAGAGAAGTGTTATGTGGGGAATGGCAACACAAATAGATAAAAAGAATTCATGTCATCAAGGAGTTTTAAGACTAGCCAGGAAGTTAGATTTTTAAAGAGTTGATTATTATCCAAGGTAACAAGGACAATAATCCAGAATGCTAAAAGTTTAATCAATCGATCAGTCATTTCTTTTTGAAATTTGCCAGAAATATTTTTAGCAAGTTGAATACAATAATGTATTAAAAAGCTAACATCATGTTCAGTTGAGGCTTGTCTCAGAAATTACAGTTGGTTTACCTTTTGGAAATCACTTCTGTGTAAAACTGCAGATGTCATTGTGGCAAACGTGACTGAAAATTGTGCTTATTTTCCCCATCTTTATTCTTCCAACAAATCTTAGTTATCTATTTCTTTACTGGTTTATTAATATTCCAAAGCCTTCATTCTGCTAGCTTGGATATTTTGCAAGTTTTTCCTGGTTGGAGGGTTGTTCTGATTATTAGTCTTCCAATTCCACAAGTGGAAGTCAGAAGTGGAAAACACATATGACAAAGTTTTAGGGCTAGAGAATATGTTACCAATGAAAGCGTTAAGAAAGATCTAAAGAAAGTAACACAAGGATCACTAAGACATTCAAGAAATTCTATGGACAGGAATCATGGTGGAAGATGGCATTCAACAAATTCAAATATTGGAAGTTGCTTCCTCAAATCTGCCTTCCATGAGAAAGTATTTATTTAGTGATTTTCCCCTACCATGATACTAAGCCCCAGGAGCTTAAGCATATTGCCCACCTTTATCCCAGCTGGATTTCCAGTGCTCCTCATAGTTCCTGACAAATAGAATCCCAGACTGCAGAAGGCCTGTGGGAACTAACGGATCTCCTCCATCATTGCCACTTCCTATTCTACCTTAGGTGGTTCCATATATTTTTCATTCTGACCCAAATTATTAGTTAATGCAGTAGAATATGTGCTCTTTTCGACTGTGGTATTTCCTCACATTATTGCCTCTCTTGGATTGCCTGCCAAGGGATGGCATCTTCAGTGATCCGTTCCCGCCTCCCAAGTCTTCCCCTGCTGAGATTTGACCTTGGCTTAAACTGAACAGTTGGCGTCTCAGGGTCTGTTCAGTCCAGCACACAATGCTTCAATGCTTTCTCTCTCCTATCTACTGCATCCCTTCTGAAGCCCTAACACAGGATCCTTAAAGCACAGATACAAAACAGCACATTACATTCTTCTTCCTTTTCTTTCTAAGATGGGGCAACTGTGGGCTGGGAGTTGGGTGAGTGGGTTTCTGGCCCACTTGTATGTGCTTTTGGCCTTTGGCTTCCACTGTTCTTGCTCCGTTGCTGGAGGAATCTCTGGGAAGTGGAAGGAAACAATGGGCTGTGCTTAATAAAAACATGGTGGCCCAGATTGTCTCAGGAGTAGGCAGCTCTGGACGTCATACCAAAACTTACAGTCTTCTGAGAGAGTGGAGTACTTTGGAGGCAGGATGATGTCCCTAATAACACAATTCACATCATAACATATTTGCAAAAACTCATGTAAGTTACTTATTGATAATGTTGCAGAGTAAAGATCAAGGCCCAGAGGATATAAGGAAGACCAGATCCCATCTGTAATATTAGGAACACAGAACGTTAAATGTGGTCCTAGGCCAGGCCCTGGAGAATGCAGATGCCATTCTTCGGGTCACACATGCTGCTACAAGGGAAGGTGATCCTGAGGAAGGATTTGATCACTGACTCCTCGCTTTAATGTGTCTGGATTAAAATACCTTTGGGGACTCCATAAGGTAGCACAGAATGATTTTTCTTCCCATGGGCTCTCTAAGAATTGCCCCCAAGAGAGTCTAACAATAAAAGTCAGAAGATTTTAAGCATAGCCAAGCATGCCTGAAATACCAGAAATCTTTCCTTAAAGCAGAGGCAATCTCTGTGGCATGAGCAAGTACTGTTTCCTCTGTTGAGGTTCTCTTGTTGTCTAGAAACCTCTAGTAGCCCAACTGTTGTTAAAATAATTTAGTGAAACTTTAGGTAAAGAGTTGCCTTTTCAAGATATCTAACATAACTCTACACTTAGATAATACAATTATGCACATATGGAGTATTCAAAAATAAATGTAAAATACATAGTATAAAAAACTACACATGGATTTCATTAGTTTTGCACCAAAATAAACTTTTTAATTCCGTTGTGCATGAATTTTTTGATGTACACTGGAAGCACAGCTACTGATTTACTTTTGAGTCTTCACAGATCTGTCACTTGTATCTATACTTTTAATCTTTAAAGTAGTTAGTCAAGGTTTAGCTACTCCCAAGCATTTCTTCTTGTGGAAGGGTGGACTGGGCTTTCCACATTCAGTACACAGAAGACCCAACAGGCAGACTGAAGGTGGCTGTCCATTTCAACGTTGTCTGTCTGATGTCCTGATTATTTACTACGTTGGTGATTGAATTAGACGGAAATACCTGGAGAAAATATCTCAGAGCATCATTTCAAAAGCACCCGAGGAAAATGGCCAAATGCTTACTAGTATTCTGCTCACTCTCATTCTTCATCCTGACACATTTGGTGTTCACTTCTGGTAAGACTTTTGGATAGCCCTGGCAGGCATGTAAAGTTGATCTGTGGGCTTTGACATCCAATCTGAAAGAGGGTGTTTTGAATTTCTTTGAAAAGAATCATAACTGATTATTAAATCTATGTATGCATTTAGAAGGGTATTATGTGGTTGTCTAAAAGACTCTAGGCCAGTTAGTAGAGGCGTAAGTTTTCCTATCTGTTCCGCGCTGATTGAAACCTGCGCATGGGGCAAGGAGCGTGGACGCTTCAGGGATGTCAGTGTAATGGTGTGTGCCTCCATCAGGGTGCATCTCAGAACTTCAGGACTTCGGAAAATGCTCTGCCATCTGTTTGAGCCGATCATTATATTTTATTCCCTCTACTAAAGAAGAAGTCGTCTTGGCTTTTCACATATCTACCCTGAATTTCTGAGTATTACCTAACAGTGTTCTCTCTCTGTTCAATATAGGGCTTGAACCAAAAGACCACAAAGTTCTATCATTCCCTATTTCTTTCATGTGTTGGCTTACAACTCTCAATCATCTAGAAATACATGTATAAAGAAATGTTTCCAACTGTTAATACTTCCTAGGAAATACATTAGAACACTTTGATTCTATGAATGGATTAAGCTATGATTTATCAGGGATATTTTGTAGTAATTTTTATGTTTTATTTATTTATTTATTTATTTTTGGTTTCAGGACCTCGACACTGGTGGCCACCACGTGGAACAGTTAAGGTAATCTTCCAGTAGATTTTCCAGATTGAATATTCTTTTTTTCTTTACTTTTTTAAAATTTTTCTTTAATTTTTAACAGATTCAATATGATTGTAAATACAATTCTAAGAACATAATGATATTCCCTTTGTCTTTCCCTACCTCCCTCTCCCTACTTCTTCCCACCCTCTTCCCCTCTCTCTTTCTGTTTTCAGTTTTTGAGAGAACATATTTTAAAGTTACATCACATTAAGAAGGCTTAATACTTCACAAAATTAGTTTAACAAGTGAAAAGCAAAAAGAATCTAGTTTAGTGGGAATATTGACAATGGCTATAAACAATAATTGAATGGAAAAATGGCCAGTTCACACATATATAGTCCATTTTACAGTAATCACAGATTATTAAAACTATAAGGACTAAGATTCTAACATGAGATTTCTTTGGAATTATTATTTTGGAATCTCACTGCAGCAAAGTTATTCATTATGTTCTTCAAAGTCTGTTCACATGAAAGTGACAGCTGCACTGCAGGTACAGGAGTCAATAGTAGGATGATTCAGCCTGGAAACTATGCTGAAATTTGGTCTTAGGTACACCAGAGAACGCTTTGTAGTGCCTGGCAAGTATTTATGAGCCTTGACAACTGCCGGGGCAAGAAAGGTTCTTAAGGGCCTACAGACTCCAACAATTCCTGCTCTTCAGGAGGTTGCAGTTTCTTGGAGGGATTGCTCCAAAATGCCCGAGATGTTCTGAAAACGGTTGTGCGAATTTTGAATAAGGAAAGCAGCTCTTCAGATGTGATTATGATGGAGGAAAATGAGAATAGTGAGAAATTTCTTAGCAGGGCCAGAAATTATGTTGGCAACTTATATGAGAGCAAAATGCAGACACCTTTTTTCTACCCACCTACCCTGTAAGCACTGCATGCACTATGAGATCAATAAATGTTTGATAAGTAAGGGAAAGGATGGATGCAAGATTATTCTTTTTATTTTGATGGAGTTTTGCTTCACTGCACTGCTTCACTTTATTTGTGATTTAAGCTTTGTCTACTTGGTGAATGTTCAATTTTATGTATTATTTTTAAAATAATACATAATGAGTTGACTGGTGAAAAAGCTATCTTGAAAGCAGCTCAGTGGAGCACCTGTCAGAGTCTACAGCTCCAGCAAAAGAACCTGAAGAATTTGTCCAGGATTAACACTCTTGTCTCACAGTTTCAGTTCTGGAATTTTTCTCTAAAGAGGTGGTCTCCTTTCTCATCAATCCATATTTATCACCTCTACTGGCTATAAATACAGTATTGAAGAAAAGAGATTTCCTTCTGTTATGAAAGAAACAACTGTGATTTGTAGTAAATGCTGTAAATAAAAGAAATAGGCAAATAAGATAAATAATATTTTTTGAGGGTAGAGATACTACATGAACAGTGTGGTAAGTGAAGGCGTCTATTTCATGGGGACAGCTAAGCTGGGATCCGAAGAGTGAAAAGGAGCCTCCGGGGTGGAGAGCAGTAGGACCTTACCTACGTGATGCACTCACAGAAAAGCTGTATGACTAGGGTGCTGAAAGGAAGAGGATGAGGTAGATGTTAGTTAGTGAGGCAGGTGAGGATGCTCACCTGACAAATGTGTATCCTACTCCAAAGCAGGAGGGAGAATTTATATTTATAGACAAGGATACTAACTATTCTTGCTCAGGTTCAACTATTTATATCTCATTTATTCATATTGCAAATATTTTTAGAGCAATGACTAAATGCCAATCTGTATACTAAGCACACACTGGATATCCTAATCAGTCTATCATTCTTTTTAACTTTCAGGTGAAGTGTCCATATAAGAAAGTAGACTTGAGTTGGTACAATGGAACAGCGAACCCTTGCCCAGGCTTAAAACAACCCATCTGTGGAACCAATTTTATCACCTATGAAAATCCATGTATTTTGTGTATTGAGAGCTTGTGAGTATTATTGGGGAAAAAGAAGAGAACCATGACTAAGCCTATCCATAACAATTGTGATCTATTGCTCTTACCAAGTGTATCAGCTTGAAAGCCAGGAATTTGCTCTACCATGCACAGATTATAATTAGCACCATTCAGAATATGTGGAAATGGAAAGCCCACTAGAATACAAAGCAGACTTACTGCACATCATGGTGTTCCTTGGGTCTTACTTTTTCATATGCCTGCTGATGGATATCTACTTGGAGATCTCAAGTATACCCTTAAGACCCAAAACATCGATTTAAGACACAGTGTGGTTTTGCCTTCTCTTAGACCTCTTATCTCTGTTATGTATCTGAAACTCTGAACTAAGTTTAGGTGATTACAAAGAGTCAATGTTTAGTTTTCTGAATGCACATGACATGGAATCAGGGATTAGACCCTAAAATACACAGCATAATAATTCCTCCTTGATCCTTGTATCAAAGTACCAGTGCATTTTACAGGGAGAGAAACTCCCCATGATATCAGACCGTTGCCATTCTGTAATTTTGTGCAAGGACTAATGAAAACAATGTGTAATCTCTAGGGCGTCCTCACTGGTGAGTAATATAGCCAACATGTGGGAGCATTGACAGAATAGCCAAAGACTGATGTGCCTTAAAAATCAAAAATTCAAGTTGAAATAAATGGATTATTTTCAAAAAGGCTGTCATTTCGGCCATGCTATTTTCAATAGTATTTTGACATTGTGGCAAGATAACAAGATAGGAAATCTAGTAACCTGGCTTCCTTCTTTAGTCAATTATCTTTATACTCTGGAACTTAGTTTCCTCAAATATAAAATAAAGGTGCTGGCTAGAATAATTTTAAGGTATTTTGTATTGCTGCGACCTTCACTTATTTAGTGAAATGTTTATTGTAACTCTTCATTTAGGAAATCTCATGGAAGGATCAAGTTTTACCATGATGGACGATGCTAACTGACTGGACTTGGATGAGGAGAAAGAAATTGCCATTTTTTCTTCTCCATGAAAAGCTTCCTATTGTACCTTGGCCCTCCTCTACTCCTCCTTAGTGTTTCTTGGTGACAGAACTGTCCCTTACTGATCTTAGCAAATAGTTCAAGGTTCCATCCATGGAACCTCTCCCTTCATTGATTTGTAACTTTCCTATTCTCCCGAATAAATAAACTTCTTTAAAAGTCTGGTTTGATTTGTGTCTGAGATCTGTGTCTAAAATCTCAGAAGTAGAACAATTTGAACATTGGAGCCATGAGTCAAAGGTGGACTCTCTAATGCGTGAACAGTGAAGCAATCTATGCAAAACTTCCAGGTTGTCTTCCAGAGAATATCACAGAACTTTCTCCTACACATCTTCGGTATTTAAAAAAACAGTAGGAACTGTGGGACATTGTGCTCTACCTGGCCAGTTCCTGATGCTCAGCTTCTGCAAACTCCTCAGTAAGCATTCTCGTATTTAGACTCAGCCTTGCAGCCGAAGCATTTATACCTGCCTAGCTTAGATCAACAGTTTCCTGTTTGTTCAGTGGCCTTTCTTTGCTCCATAGAAGAAAGTCTACATTGTTGGTATCATGAGTGCCCTATTGGTCACTGGTCTTTTTCTGAAAAGGTCTGGATACATTTTAACCTTTAGGACTTAAAGGGTCATTATTGGGACATGTTCCTCTTCATTATACCCCTCTGTATGAACAAATATATGAGTTACATGAATGTAGGCCATATATGTATGTATATATTATCTGACTGACATGTAAGTCTATATTATCTGTTTATCTCTATTAATAGGAAGGATAGAAGAAAAGGTACTAACATGCTCTCTTCTCAGTAGCTTGCTCTGTGCTGGCCTGGTAAGGAGCATCTGTCTGTTCTGCCATGTGAGGCTGTGCTCAGAATATGTGTATGTTTTATTAGATCTTTGCTCTTAATGACTCCGTTGATTACATTGTGGCTGCGTGGCTCCAGGGAACAAGGAAGAAGTCATCTTTGGTCAATCCATTTTAGAATATGAGGAGCAAACAGCCCCAGGGACAAGATAGTCTCAGTCTTACAAAATGTCGCTTTCCATCCCTCCGAGTCCTGGGCCATGCAGGAACCCCAGAAACTCCAGAGAGGATTGCATCCCAGTGCTATTGTTCTAACTTCACGTTCATAACTCTTTTCTTTTTTTATCAATCCACCATTAATGTCATCCAGTAGATTTTTTTCATCTCACACAGGCACAGTTTCCAGACTTGAATAGGACCTGGGCTCTGATGTACCTAATCTTGGGTGACAGGGAGGCCCCTCACACTCAAACACCAGTCAGTGCCCTGATGAGCCTCTCTCTGGTTCTCGTAGGCTAGAGCGTGAAAACTCTGGCCATTTTGGCCTCTCCTCCTCAGCTGTGCATACTCAACTCAGGGTCCTGCATCTCAGTTCCTTTTTCCTATTCCTAGACTCGTTCATAATGAGGAAACGAGGGCCAACCACAAGCTTAACATATTTGTCTCTCACTTCTTTATCAATGTTCTTTAATGCCTGATGATTTAGTGATTTTTGTTCACATATTTGTTTGACTCTTCATAGTTTCAAGTAAGAAAGTATATATGTTTTCTCTTACACCATATTGTCTGAAAGCAGAAGTGGACTTTATCATGCCATTGGACCTATTTTTCCTTCAGATTTTTTCTAAATTGTAGACTAGGGTACAATGCCAAAGTTTTATTTTTTCTGAGAATTTCAAAGGACAAGTCTTGTGCTCTGCTGTATTAGAAATATTTTAGTGAATAATAAAGTTCTTACTTAAATTTGATACACACAAGAGTAAGAAAACAATTTGAAAACAAGATTTTTTCTTGGCCGGCACCGCAGCTCACTAGGCTAATCCTTCGCCTACGGCGCCGGCACCCCGGGTTTTAGTCCTGGTTGGGGTGCCGGATTCTGTCCTGGTTGC